ACCTATTATTTCATTGTACTAACAATTTTAACATATGACACATAATCCATATGATAAAAAATACAAAAAAGAGAGCTTTGAATGAAACCAAGATCCATAACCACAATATAGTAGACACTTGATTTTCTAAAATAAAACTAGCAACAACTAATGAGATCAAAATTGGTAAGCTAACAAAAGCAAGATTCATAACGTTATGAATCACGACACATGAAATGCAAGAAGATCTGACAAAGCTAAATTTTAAACTAAACATATGTTGAAGACACACATATGTATGATACAAAAGGGAAAAGGTTAGAATAATATGGATGGAAAGACATATAAGAGTACTTGTTAATCAAAGCTTATTATAGTAAAATAGAGACGCCGTAATAACCTTGTACACAACACACACACACACACACACACACACACACAGAGAGAGAGAGAGAGAGAGAGAGAGAGAGAGAGAGAGAGAGAGAAGAGCTTTGGATTATTTTGGCTTCTATTTCATCCACAAATTCTAAATTATGTCTTCTATGATTCCAACCTATATGCAAGATCACATGTTGATGTACTAGTGCAAATACATGATGTTTTATATATAGTGATTTATTCTGCAACAAGAACTACTTCTCCCGGCTACACAAAAAGACTAACATATGCAATTTGAGTTCAGTTAGAGCTATTTATAAAAATAGTTGTAATTAGATAAACTAAGTGTTAGTGTATCTATTATTATCTTAGACACCATCATTTATCCTTAATTTAAATGTTTTTATATGATGTGTTCACAAGCATGATATTTACTAGCCGTTAGACCAAATTATAGTCTAGGAATACCATTGTTGTGCATTGGCTTACCAAAGTTATTGCAACATGTGGTTGCCTTATTATTTATGTATGTACACACACAAAGATGCCAACATAAACTTAAAATTCACTTTTTTATATTTAAATATGTTGATAGGGTATAAAATAGTTTATATTTTGACAAAAAAAAACATAAATACTCCACCTCCAATTAGATTTTTCTTTGAACGAGGAACGGGTACTAGCTAAACACAAGCAGATTGCCTTGGAACTTTGGGTAGGTTCCCATAGGAAAATAAATAAAAATAGGCACAACTCTAACATCAGTTAAAAACTATGGCCAAGCAGGCATAACAACGGAACACACCGAGCTACACAATCACCACAAAACGTTCAACACCACTCATTTGTCGGCTGGACACAATGAAGCACCACACCATCGAGATAAACATGATAATCATAAATGTTCAAATAGGATCAAATAAAATTTATATTAGAGATTTAGATGTCCTAAACCATACCTCATAATCCACATAGAAAAGCTAACCTGATTAGGACTCCTGAACAAGTTGATATATAATCCTACTGTGAGAGATAGTACTTGGACCCAATAGTTGTATTTGATGGGCTTGAAGAAACACTTATAATTTGAATCTAAGAGTGACTTACTCATCTCAAAAAGAGTGAAATTATTCATTAATTCGACAAATATTCAACATAATGTAATTATTGTATGTTATTATGTCTTATTACTGTTATTAATTGGAGAGTTTTTCAGTGCTCCACTAGTTCTCATGGAATGCGCTAGAAAAAACAGAGAAATCGTATAAATTCTCATAAAAGTTAATGACCATCACTTTTATAGACCCAATCACAATAGCCATTGAATCCAATTTGCATGTAAACTATCAACCATTGCATTATAAAATATTAACATGAAGTAACCCCTAAATATACATGTAAAGTACCCATTATGTTCTTATAAATTAAATAAATAAAAAACCTAAGTACATACATATAAATGAGCCAATCATGTCACTATGAAAATAAACAAAAGTAACATCTAAATCTACATGTAAATTATGCACCTATGCTTTTGTTTAAAATAACCCAAGTAATCCCTGAAACTACCATATTATGAAAAAACCAATGTACCTCTCTCTACACATATACTTCTAGATTTGGTAAAAATATAGGCTTATATACTCCTATTATTAATATACAAAAATTGACTCTATTTTAATTCTGATTTTTTTTCAATTTTGGTTAAAAGGTTATAACACATTATAATTTGTAATTTTTGTGTAAACACTCCAATGTGTTTTAAAAAATATGGCTGCAATTGTAGTTTTGTTATAGAGACATTCAATATCCTGGTCACTGCATTGAATGCCCAAACACTTGTTTATACCACTTTTGTACCTAAGATGGAGTGTAAGACCAAAAACATATATCTTAATGACATCCAAAAGGAGGGCATGTAATAAGAGGCACAAACGAGTGCTAAGGTTTTAGCCTAACATGTAGACAAAAAAAGCTTTCCTTACAAATTAAAGTAAGTGGGATCAAATTAGGAAGCCAAAATATGGACTAATGTTGTCATACAGATGGGCTACAACAAAATGCGATGCAAAGTAGAAACTATGAGTGGAGATGGAAAAGAAAATATAGTGTTATCAATAACTAAAGTCTGTCCCAATTTGATAAAGATAACAAAACATCAATAGGTATTGTGCAAGAAAATGAACAAATGAGAGGAAGCAAAGGTATTGGTTAGGAGTGGGCCCTAGATTATTTATCCAGACACTTCTAATACTTTACATTCTTCTTGAAATATTTATGTTTCTTAGAATTGCTAGCCCATACATGGCACATGTTGGACTAGCAATCTTAAGTGAGCTTGAAAGATATACATTACCTTACATCAATAGGGATACACTTTTGTGACTTGGAACAATGGGATTTTTGTTGTTGTCATGCACTATATTCATATCCTATCCACAAAATGACCATAGTATAACTAATGAAAAACAATTGAAAGGATAGGAGCTACTCCCTCCATTTCAAATTATAGGTCATTTCAACTTTCTTGCAGAGCCAAATCATTTCAAGTTTGACCAAAATTGTAGAGAAAATTACAAAAATTTATGGCATCAAATATATAGGTATACTATGACTATAAAAATATAACTAATGAAGAATCTAATGATACTTATTTGGTAACATTATAATAAAATTTGGTCAACCCTAAGATGCTTTGACTCTTCAAGAAAGTTGGAATGACTTATAATTTAGGATGGAGGGAATTTAGTTTCTAAGTAGGATCCTATCTCATCCCAGACCTCTCTTTTTTTTTAAAAAAATTCGTACCTCACCTTCTGGTGTCCTGAGGCAGATTGATCAGTCTTGCCTTCGATCTCTACAAGGCTATTCAAGTCAAATGGCACGGCAATTGAACCGTGCAGTTCTGACAAATGGTTCATACAGTTTTAGTAGTGCGGGGGTCAATTGATGGGAGTGGTGCATTATATTATGAGGTCATCATCCAGTGAATTTTGTGGTGATGATCCATTCCTCCTATCTACATGTGCTTGCGATATGAGAATAAAAGGTGGATGATGGATCAACTTATCATGTTTCTCAGACAAAAAACGAAAAATAGGAATGAGATGATCTATCACTGTCTCAACCATTTCACGAGTGAAACCAATAAACACCATGAACATCCCACGCCTCAAATGAGACACCCCAGTACTACATTCTCTTGAATATTTGTATGTACTGAAGAACAATGACAGTACTACATTAACTATGACATACGCTTCGAAAATAAACATCTTAAATAAAATAAATCCAACGTAACTCGTCACTGCATTCATGCTAAGTTGACAATAATGGTGGGCTGGCTAGCACGCAGTACTCCCAGATGACTCAGCGTCCATCCTACCAATGTTTTTGCACTGACAGAGAAGTCAAAGAACGATGAAGGAGCAGTGCCCGGGATTCTGCGACGAACTGGAGAAGATCGTCAGGAAGAAAGCAGGGGGCGTATAGCTAGCTGCAGCAGCTAGCCTCCACACCACCGGTACACACACAGTGCTGGCGCATGCATTTCAGCATTCCTGCGGATCCTACGGCGTGCTACTCCATAAGCATGCATGCAGCTAGCTAATAAGGGATTCTAGTTTAGTCTGTAAACGATGGACACCCTGTTCGTTGGTTAGTGCTGGTACTGGTTTGAGCTGGCTGATGCTGATTTTTTGTGAGAGAAAAACACTGTTGGCTGGTTGAATAAGTCTGGCTGAAACCAACGAGCGAACGTGGTGGGACTGTTTACGTGGGAAAATATGTAGTAGCAGTACTAATGCAGGAATGCATCCCTGCTGGTGTGTCCATGTGTGTTCTGTTGAAGAACTATAGTATATGGTAACTGTGAAAGTCACGGTAAAATTCCAATGGATGCATAATATATGCTTTTCTGTTAACCAAAGTCCATAGATCCTTTGTTTTTTGTTTTTTTTTTGGGCATGAGGAGAAACGCTATAGGTCCTCCTCTACTTGTACTGAAACATTGTGCAGGAAGAGAAGGAGGATGCAAGCGGGCTAGCCTGCTTGTGCATCCTTAAAAGGCCCGCGGATCCGGGTGAGATTCGGCCCGGCCGCGTTCGAAGAATGGCCGGAACCGCGCGCGAGCGCGAGCGTTCATTCACGGCCCGTGGACCTGACCACTCCGCCGCAAAAGGATGCCCAGCCCAACTGGACGATGCTCTCTTTCCGCGCAGTTTCCTTCGACGACGCCGAGTCCCCGACCACCCCACTAGCCAAGGAGACGGCGGGACGCGGACGCGGCCCGGTCAACCGGAGAAGACGATGAGACTGCGCTCGACGCGCCGAGTCCCTCCCTCCCACGCGTGTCCGACCAATTCCAGGCTTCCCGCACGCGGCGGCGGCTATGGCCGCTCATTGCAGCCTGCTATGCATTTGCATGGATGGCGTCATCAGCCAGTGTGTCAGTTCGATGGACAGGATGAACCATGGCGAGAGAGAGAGGAAAAGAAGTTCGTTCTGGTTTGCAAGCAAAAAATGCGTAACCAAAAATCATCTGTACATTTTGCTGTTCGTCCTTCATCGTTCTTCCCAAACGGGAATCATCCCTGCAAGCTACTGTAATTAATAACACCTACGAGCGCGGATGCATGGCATGGCTACCGCGAGGACAGCATGGTCCTCGCCGCCGACCTCATCCACCGGCTCCTATCGCGCTCGGAGATGGTCTCCAGCCTGGGCGACCACGGGCGGCTCCTGCCGGTCCCGACGAGCTGCGCGTAATGCCGCTTCAGCTCGGGCGTGCTGCACAGCTCCGCGTCCTTGGCCTTGTCCTTCGCGTTCGCGTTCGCGTTCGCGCCGCGGCCACCGGCGTCGCAGGTGATGAGCTTCTCGATGAACTCCGGGAGGACCCTGATGAGCGGGGCGCCACCGTTGGCGCCCTTGACGTGCTCGAACGGGCACCCCGCGACCGCAAAGAGGGTCTGCTTCCTCTTGACGTTGCCATTATTGCTGCCGTCGCCGTACGACAGCGCGGCGAGCGTGGCGGGCGTGAGCGCCTTGAGGCAGGGGAGGCGCGCGGCGGGGAGCACGAAGTAGGTGCGGCCCGGCAGGAGCTCCTCGCCCGGGGACATGGCCGGGATCGGGAGGCCGACGAAGAAGGCGTCGGCGGGGCACACGGCGTGGCCCGCGGCCGGAGCCGGGAGCTCCGCCGCGACGTCCCCGGCCGTGACGACGGCGTCGCTGTCGCCGCCGCCCGTGACCACCAGCTGCCTCGACTGACCGCCCCAGTACACCAGCCGCACCGCCGTGGGCGTCGCCGGCAGGTGCAGGCACGACGGGGAGAGGGAGAGGCCGTTGCCCATGTCTCAATGTCTCTCTGCGGAACGGAATCGACGTGCAACGGTGCAAGAATTGAAGTGAGCACGATCGGGATGGCCGGGCTTGCAAGCTGTGGCAGGCGGGTGGCTATATATGTGAGCGGTGGTGGTGGTGGTGGGGAGGGAGGTTGACCTGGGAGAAGAAGAGGAAAAGGCAGGTGTTTCATGTGCGCGTCGTGTGCTGTGCTGGCTCAGGCCAGGTCAGTGGTCAAAGGTGACGGCCATTTTTTTTCCTTCCGAGGCTTCTTCTTTTACTATTTCTTGCGAGGACGAAGCTGGAGAGGCCCGTTGGACGCGTCGGCGCGAGTGCCGACTTGGCGACAGGTGGAAGAAGCTGGCTGGCTGGCCTCCGTTTTCGGCTGCGCGTGCGTGCGTGCAACTATGCGTCTATGCAAAGTGTATTGTTGACATGGCCAGCGGAGAAGAGAGGTGGGTGGGTTATGCGTGTGCATCACGTTGGTGTTCAGTTTATCCGTTCAGATGGACGTGGCAACTTGCTTGGCAAATGGCAAATGGCAAATGCCAGTCGCCAGGCCAGCGTTTGCTCGCCTTATCGCGTCTGCTCCCCACGCCGACATGTGGATTTTTTTTTTCTTCTTCTTGGGACAAATGTATGAACGACCAAGAAATTTAGGTTGAGATTTGACAAGAGCAACGGAGCCAAAAACTTTTAGAAGTTCGGGAATTTATTTAGAAAAAATAGAGTTTATCCAAAATTGGTGCGCATCTGTTGGTCTTTCACTTAGAATGGAACAAGTATTATATCTCTTTGGCCCGAGAAATCCCATACAAAATGCCAACGTACCACACATATATAGTAGAGCCTTTTTCCTGTATGCCATTATGAAAGATACTCCAGGCCTACATGTCACTAAAAAATTCAAACGCACCTATGCGCCACGACACTTTACTTTTTTACCTCCCAAACCATTACGTCTACTTTTCTATCTAGCGGTGTCAATATGCGCTGGAAAAAGTCTCAAATGCCCACACCTTGCTTCTTCACCGTGCGCTTCTTCATTCATCTGCGACAGCACCTCGTGCATCTGCGACGGTGGTTGAGAGGTGGCCGGCCGAACGGGCTCACGGCCATGGGGATGTAGCGCCCGCGCTCGCGACCTGGGCACCTGCGGTTGCCTCGTCGAGCGCCCCGGCAGAGCACGCTAGCTCGCCCGGGCTGCCGCCTCATGCGCCCCAGCTGAGCTCACCGCGACCGTCATCTCCTGTGCCTGGCGGAGCTCGTCACAACCACGGGCTCCTGCACCCTGGTCGAGCTCGTCCCGCCCTCGGCGTTCTGCTCCTAAGCCCGGCGCCTACTTCAAGGGCTCGATGAGTCTGCCACCGTCCGCGCTCACCGCCGGCGATAGCTGGCTCGACGGGGCACGGACTTCGTGGTGGAGTTCGCTAGCGGTGAGTGGTGCGTGGTGCGGGCGCTAGTTGAGTGTGTTCCCTGGCGCGGACATGAGGCGCCGCCGCATCGACCTCGACAAGCCCGGGATGGTTCCGCGTAGGACACCAGGCATCTCTCCCTGGACTCCACACCCTGACGTCGTCACCCTGCACCGGAAAGCGTCGCACACGGCTCCGCCACCCCGCCGCGCACAGCCACGGCCGCCACCGTTTCCCCACGACGCCGTCGTCAGAAGTGATAGTCAGCCTCCTGGCTCCTGCGCCAGCGTGGCCACGCTCGCCCGCCCGCCCGCGGTGATCTCCATCGCCGGCGCTGGTGGAATCGAGTAGCGTTGCCATCGCAGAAACAGCCGCGGCCCCATCCGTGGCGGCGTTGGCCTAACCTGCGTCCATGGCTGGCTCAGTCAGCGGCGCGGTCGGATCCACGTGCAAGTCAGCCCCAGCGACAAGCGTGCGACTGAGGAGGAGGATGAGGAGTCGGTGGCGGGTGACGGAGACGGAGACGACGGAGCACCATCGGACCAGGCCGCAGCCGCGGGCCTCCACTCAAGCCCGGGCCAGGCGGCGGCGGCCTCCACGCTATCGTTCGCATCCGGGGTGGCCGTGCCGCTGCTCGTGGCGTGGTTCGTCACGGGATACAGGGCGCGGGTGGCGGTGGTCGTGGCTCATGCGGCTCTTTACTGCAGCTTGCCACCGTCTTTCTCGTGCTGCTGGCGGAGCTCTGCTCGAGCACGGCCAGGTGGGCGAGCTCCCCTGACCAGCGCGTGGGCGAGCTCCCGATCTCGGCCACCGCCGGCCCTCCTTCGCCCCGCCCCGGCCGGATATGGAGGTCTGCCACCGCCGCCGGCCGTCCTCCACCCTGCGACAACGCCCTCCCCGGCTCCGTGATGCCTGCGGGCGGCCCTGTTCCACGGCGCGGTTCCCCCAGCTCACGGCCTGCTCGCGGGCGCTCACTTCTCTGGCCAGCCAGCCACCACCAGCGCGTGGGCGAGCTCCCTTGACCACCCTCGGTCCCCTCGCGCTCTTCTTGAGGAGGAAGAAGGTGCTGTGTCACTGACAGTTGGGCCCCACGAGGCAGAAAGAGACAGAAGGGAGATGACAGAGTTATGAAAGAAGGGTATTTTGGACATCATCATAGGTCGGTCCCACATGTAAGGACTGGCAAACGGCAGAAATTAAACAGAAGGCGGACGGAATGGCTTGGGAGAAGAAAAAAAAGTAAAGTGTCATGGCACATAGGTGCATTTGAACTTTTTAGTGGCCTTTAGGCCTGGAGCCTCTTTCATGATGGTACACAGGTAAAAGGCTCTATATAGTAGATCTTGAGTGACCATTAGCAGCCACTCGTTGTACCAACTCTGCCTCAACCCGCTTGCGAGTGTAAGAATGGAGTGGTGATTCTCATTATGCAAAAATATTTATTACAAAAATATGTTGCTCTTATTTGGTATAAAGAAAACTTTCATCTGCACTTCGTGATGGCTACATCGTACAACTATAGAACTGAATACTTAATTACTTATACAACAACAAAATTGAACAATACCACTACTTAGAGCTGTAGTTAATTAGGCAAAAGTTATTTTTTCACATGAATCCTATCAGGATTATACCAGGAAGCAAGAGAGTATGTACAAATGAAGTGATACTGCAATTTCACATGAAGATTCATTCTTGATCCTCTATGTATATAATTACTTGGATTAGCTATTACATTCAAATCTGAGTATGGACGCAAAAAAAAACACCAGGCAATGCCACTTACTGCACATTGAGCACATGACTTAAACCATGCCAAATATGTGAACTTCTATAGGTACGTGGTGTAGAGCATATATGTTTGTGGTAATATAATTAACAGGGCTAGTAAGTTAACATATTATCAAGTGGGGGATCCCCCCACCCCACCCCAACCCACGTACCCTCAAAAAAGAGAAAAAAAGAGAAAACAATGAGTATGGCACGGGCCAGCTATCGAATTAGATGAACAACACAAACTTAACTGAGGGATGGATAAGGGCTGCTCTAGAGAAAATTCTAATTGAACAACATAAAAACCATGAAAAAACGTATAATTTCTGTTCTAAGTTGTTGTTTGTTAGAAGATTTTTCAAATTACCAGCAAGGGGAGAAAAAGCTGCTAACCAATCTCTCCATCTCGGGCTGAACCCTCTATGTTCCAACAACTCCAAAACGTATTCCCAGGAAACTTTATTGAAGGCCTTCGAGATATCCGGTTTGAAAAGCAGGGCCAGTGTTTTGGTTCTGTGGTATGCTCGAGCCAGGTTTCAGACATACATGAAATTGTCTTGTATACAACTTCGCTAGATAAATGCGCTTTATGAAGAGTCTTAGTGACCAGTTTGGCGAAGGAATGTATCAACCTGATCGGCCTGAAGTCGTTCGCTCTTTCATCAACATTAGTCTTCAGCGGATGGGGGCGACAAGCTATCGGAGCCTCTCATGGTGGCTGCCGCGCCGTCGGCACTTTCTGCAGCAGAGGCAGATGAGTTAGAGTACTTTTCAACAGCGTGAGTAGTGAGTGCGGGACTGATGTTGGTTGTGTGTGTGTGATGTTTAATATGCTAGCGAGTAGTAGCTAGGGCGAGTTGTAGTTCATGTTTATGTGCATGCGTGTCCTGAGTTTCAGTGCAAGAAGGTGTTTTAGCTAGTTTGTATGAAGACCGGAAAACATTGCCGGTATGGGGTTAATATAACAAGGGATGGATAAGGAAGGGGTACTCTAGAGAAACCTCTAATTGAACAATATAGCAAGGGGCTAATAAGTTAATATGTTATCAAGTGGGGATTTTGCCCCCCCCCCTCCCCGTCCACCACAGAAAAAGAGAGAAACCAAGAAAATGAGTATGGGCACGGGCCGGCTATCAAATTAGATGAATGACTCAACTTTAACCGAGGGATGGACAAGGAAGGGGTACTCTAGAGAAACCTGGAATTGAACAACATAAAATCCATGAAAAAAGTGTATACTTTCTTTTGGAAGTTGTAGTTTTTTAGAAGATTTTTCAAACTACCAGCAAGGAGAGATGTTAGACAAAAGTTCAAGTCATGTTACACCCATTCGATGTTAATCTTAACTTAGCACACTATATTCATGTTTCTAGATGAAATACAAATGCTACCAGAGACTATCATGACACCCACAGCGATGACAACCCTACCCAAGGGTATTGCACCTGATGGGTGTGAATATAGAAATTTCACCGTGGGGTGCGAGTATGAGTGCCATTTTCTACCGACGGGTGTATATTTGGGTATGTTGCTTTGCCATTGATGCTTGAAATATAATGGATTCAGGCCCCGTTCGCTTCGCTGAAAAAACAAGACGAAACACTGTTCCGGCTGATTTGTTGTGAGAGAAAAACACTGTTCCGGCTAAAAAAACAAGCTGAAAAAACGGATTATAAGAGAAGCGAACATGGCACGGGTATATATGCAAAATGCTCTATGCAGATATAAAATTTTACATGTTTGATAAAATTTCTAGGGTGGACAGTTAATCTACCCACACCTTACTCAACCCACCACCGTCCCTACACTTATGTCGGTGTTGTTGCTTATCTTAATAAGACTCTCTTGCTCCTGGCGTTGAAATGTTGAATCTTCCTCCTTTTGGGACTAGAAGGAAGTTGACTGTTCCTCTTAGAATTCGAAGGAAGTTGACTGTTCTCCCTGCATTGAACCTATCCATATGGACCATATTACCTGTTGCCACCAATGCGTCAGTAAACTGTGGGCTGTTGCCTTGTATTTTGATTCCGACCGCTACAAATTGCAGTGTCAATGGAAGTCCCAAAACCATACCCGTCTACCATGCAATCTTTTCTTGAATAAAATAAAAAAGACAGAGGTGGTGGCAGACTGGCAGCCCTGTTCCGATCAAACCAATCAGCAGCCGACGCTAGCTTCGAGAGCAGCTGCATGAGCAAAGCGAGAAAAAATACTATTCATTTGCTGTCCTCGTGTGGGCTCCACCGGTAGTAGCTCACATCAAGTATCCAACGTCATTCGTTGAACTCCTTGGTCGTATCATATAGTCGCTCCATTTTTTTGACAGCAACACGATCTAAAAAAATAACTTTAATTATTACTTTTTCTATAAAATATTTATAAAATATAGTCTATATATATTTTTATGAAACTACATTTCGAAATGAATCTATTTATATCACTTTCATATTTTGAAACTTAACAAAAAAATTATTTATAGTTAAAGTTTAAAATATTTAACTTAAGATAACCTTAAAACAACGTTTTTTAGGAAACAGGAGGGAGTAAGTATTATATTATAGTACACGTGCGCATTCACTTTCAACGATCAGTCGGTCTCAGCCATTTGAAAAGTTACACCTGGCTCTAGCTCTTTATTTTAGGCCAAGTCAGCAACAAAAAGCTGATGGTTCAAAGTAAGTCTACCAAGAACATTTCAAAACCAGGGGATGTTCAGTATCCACTAAACTCGGCACATCACGTTTGTGTTCACGAAAGTCTTCTTTTAGTGAGTTTTCGAGCTGATTCGTTCGACCGCGAAGTCCCTTGCAACATTTACTTCCAAGTGAATCTTTCCTTTATAGCAGTATCTAAAACCTCTCTGAAAAATGTTACAGTTGGTATCTTTCGAGAATGGTGATTACAGTATTGTAGTGTAGCCATTGATTTCCAAAGAATGGTAGTAATAACCCTACACAACGTGTTCGTCAGTATGTGCATTGCAGATCTTCCTGGCACTGCTATCTATCATGGATAGGCTTGCCTGCCGCTCACGTACGTCGCCAGGACCTGCCCCGGCACATCGTTAGAGAATTCGTCCCACGATGTAGAAGGCAGCACCACAAAATCGGCGTATTTCCCTTCAGAAAGGCTGCCCACGGCATGGTCCAGGAAGCAGGCAAAGGCAGCAGACAACGTATGCCTGTGTGTTCGTCAGAGTGGGAGGCCAGTCCATTAGCAGGGAAAACGATCGATCCACAGAGCTTGGCATTGCAATGAGCGGATCGAAAGAGACTTACGCTTTCAATAATTCATCTAGGGTTAAGCGTTCCACAGGGATCCAGGGGACCTCCCACCCAGGAGGCTTACGGAACATGGCGGTCCGGATAGCTTGTAAGGGGTTGATGTCTGAAACCTGAAAGACAGTAACAGTATACCTGGTAGCTGATTATATGGTAACTGAAATACAGAGTTCAATTTACTGAAATGTCTGCAGAATTACGTACAGGCCAGTCAGAACCAAAAGCTAGCTGTGCACCGCCATCTAACAGTGATCGGAATGTGTAGGAGCTTCGGTCAGCCCGTTCCACCCCAATCTTGTTTCCAGCAGAGTTGGCATCATCTAATAGATGATCTGGCTGTCAACAATAAAGCAGATACTTCAGAAGTGGAAGATTTTTAAAAGGAATTCAGAAGCGGAAGATTTAAATGCACAATCTGTTTTGTAAAGCATAATATGAATATATAGTAGCAATGGAACGGAATAGTTTACCTGCACGGATGCAATGATACCATGCTTGCCAAAGCGCTTTGCTGCACCTGGAGCCAGATGTTGGGCATGCTCAATCTGATTAGATATGCAAATATTCAATTCAGATTCTACTAAATAGAGCGAGTTCGTTCAAAAAAAAAAAAACTAAGCAGAGTGCAAGGGAAAGAAATAATTCTGAAATAGCTATCAGGACATACCCGGAATCTACGGTCCTTCACTCCATTTAAATCAACAACCCTGTCAACCATATCCAGTAGCATGTCATTAGCTTTGTCCCCAATTGCATGTACGGCAACCTGAAGAAGGAAAAAAGCTTTATTTTAAATTTCAAGAATGATGGTAGTTAAACTTTAAGACAGAGGGTATATCAAAAAGAAAAATGTCTACCTGGAGTCCAAATTTGTCAGATTCTAGTGTTCTATTAAGTAGGCTGTCCAAATCTGTCACTTGCAGACCATAATTACCAGGATCACCCTCATAAGGCTGTAAAGATCCATCAGCAACTTAAAAAAAATAAAAAAGAAGTTTAAAGGCTACTACAAGAGGGAGGGATAAACTATTTACGTCATGGAACAATGCGCTTGAAGAACCCAGAGAACCATCAAGGAAAGCTTTAACACCACCTAGATGGATCCACTGACTTAGCGATCAACCATGTTCATTAATAAGATCCTAAAAGCAACAAATGTGTTATATTCACACAAAGTAAACAAATAACACAGAAGAGGTAGTCACACTTCCAGAAGCAAACTTACGGAAACACGAGACCATGTGGGCATTGGGAAGAATAAGCATACTCTCATAATCATTTTTTCCATAGAGTGAGCCCATTTATAGATTTCTGTAGTGACATGAATACTTATGTCAGTATGCCAGGAGTCCAAAGAAGATCATAGATAAAATAAGACAAGTGAATCCTTCTAATTCTTGTCCATGCAATGCAAGCAAAGGTATTACAGAATACCTGCAAAATCTTGCCACGTTTTCTCGGTCGAGGCCCCAGGGAAGTAACTTCCAACATCAACAACAGTAGTTACTCCCCTCATTAGGGCATGCCTACTTGCTCTAAGAAGAGCCTCTCTTCTTTCACGGTTAGAAACTTTTTCAATGACATCAAATATAAGCCTCATAGCAGTATCAACTAGAAGACCAGTAGGCTCTACAATAACAATAGAGGCCAGATAATTTGGTCATTCTTCACCACAAAGATTCAATTAAAAATTAGCATGTTAATAAACTGGTAGAAGGCATATTGGATAGTTAAAGCATAATCTCCTTTTTTTTGGCAATGAGAAGCATAACTCTTTGCAGTACCATAATGCATAAACCACATGAATATTGTTAAAAAACTGGATACAAAGCTTCTGATCAGGTCCTTCTGCTCATTGTAACTAACTAGATCAACAGATGCGCTACTATGACAGTTTTCTTTCAAGTTTCTTGCTTTATTTTTCCCTCAGGAACGTATCTATGTTTGAAAATAAATAGTTTTCACATGCTCACCAAAGTGATTTGAGTTTGGTGCTTCAAGTCCACTTCACAATTTAAGTAACATCAGAGGGCCAAGACCCATGTTAATTAGTTGTGTTACCTCCTTCGGTTGTTCGCATTATAGTTCCACCAATTGGATCGTTTGTGTTACTGTCAATCCCAGCAATCTTCATAGCCAATGAATTGGCTACTCCCATATGACCATCCATGCGAGAGAGCCAGACCTGCATTTGAGATAACAAGTCACTTGTTATTGCTATACCTGTTACCATGGCATCTCAAAAAACGTTCCAACGCACAAGTTTGAAAACACACTGGATTATCAGGTGATATATCATCCAGCCAAGCAGCAGCAGGGATATCACCTCCCCAAAAATCATTGTTCCAACCTCCGCCCAAAATCCACTGCCCAGGATGTTTGTCTGTTCGGAAAATAAGTCTTAGTAATATATCGGTAGAGAGCTTTGGGAATACTAACCCATTAACTTCGTGAAACAGAAGCAATTAGATTGCTAAACAAGCTATTTAATATGCTGGGAGCATGCTATACAGAAACAAGCATTTGAATAAATTGCCATACCCAAGCAGAGCATATTGCATAGTAGCTATTCAAACGTAGAAGTGCAAAACACCAAGCAGAGCATAACTCTGACAAAGAATCTACTCTTATTTATTTGGCTATTACTACACTGAATGAGATGAACTAATAACTGAATTTGAGCATAAGTAATCGAACCTGTATTTGCACCATTAAAGCAGCAGTTCGTCGCAGGAAAATGAATTGGAACAAAAAAGAGTAGCACATACCTCTGACAGCTTCCTTGACCCTGGCAATGAAGTCATCTTTGCTTCTGACCCCGCGAAGTGGCACCCTCGCTAGCTGCAGATTATCAGAGAGTAGCATTACAAAGATAGCACATGCTGACAAACAGTTTACATACTGCATCATCTATCTGCTCCCTCCGTCCATAAATGTTTATCGTTTTCGTTTTCTAAAAAATAACTTTAATTAAATATATATTAAAAATATTAATATTTATGTGGATAGATATTTGAATGTAGTTTTTTAATAAATTTATTTAGAGATAGAAATATTATAAGTATTTTTTATAAATCGAGTTAAAGTTATCCGCATATAAATCGTTGCGACTAACATTTAAGAACAGAAAGTATCTATAAAGATCTTTAAATCTATAAAGGTCTTTAAACGTGGTGATTTTACTGTTGTTCTACAGTGTCCCTCACACATGAAACGCAGCGGCGACGCTTGCGAGGAACTCGGCCGCTCTCCTTGCGGCGGCGCGGCTGCAGCGTCGACCTCCGCCACCCGTCGTTTGCGGCCCCGCCTGCGGCCTCTGTCGCCTCCGCCGTCACTGCGCCCTCCACCGGCTGCGGCCCACTCGCGACCTCCGTCCGCCGCACGGCTCGCCCGCGCCGCCCCGCAACAGCGCCGCCGCGTGGGGAACCAGCAACAGCGCGCTCCCGACTCCGGCTATCTCGCTTGCGGGTTACCGCGGCGCGGCGCTGCGCGGCGCCGTCGAGGCGTTGCCCTGCAACGGCGCCGGCCCGCTTCAGGCCGTCTCGCTCCCGCCGCTTCGCACTCGCGTCTCCGGCCTCCTCCCTTGCACAGCACCTCGCCCGTGCCTACAGCTCTCTTGGACGGCAGCTCTGGAGCGCCAACGTCCCCTTCCGCCCTCCGCACCAGGTATGCTCTCCTTTTTCCCTCTTTATTTTCTTATTATTTTTTTCATATGGTACGCACATGCCTTCTCAGTATATATGCATTGATATGTGCAGACCAGTTACGTGGAACCTCTCCTTTTTTTCCTCTTTTTATTTTCTTAATTTTTCCATATGGTACGCACATGCCTACTCAGTATATATGCATTTCTATATGTTCATTCTGTGCTTGCCTCGTATGAACTACACATTGTGTGTGTCTCTGCTTCACTGCTGTGGTGTTATGTGGCTGATTTTTTTAGATTATTTACAACACATTAGTTGTCAATATTACATCTGTACACTACCTTAATCAGCCTCTTTTGCCGTACTGCTGATTCTTTGACCTGCTATTTGGCGTGTTCATATATACCTGCGTGTTATAGACACGCTCAGTTTTCGCATTTCATTTTGTGCCTCTGTTATTCATTGTTCAGCTACACCGCTTAATTCCTTAAACATGCTTTACGTACATTTGCTAGCAAAGGATGACACATCAGGCATCGGACTATTTCTCGGCCCATGGGCAAACATCGTGATCACAGGTCCCACATCGTGAGGCACTGAGGCGTCGGTCTATGATGCTTCCTAGCGATGTACGAGCCTCCGCTAATGCCACCTCTCCTCGTGGTATTCCTGCTCCCTTTGCCAATATGTATTTTTTACATACGAAACAAGTTTACCTACACTGCCTTCTATAGTTCTTCAGTTACACTAATGCATCTTCATCCTTCTTTGCAGCGTCCCCACTACTTGGGCCTTCTATTGCTTCTACAACGAGTCGCAAACGTAGAGCAGACAACATCCTCCGCAGTGATGGTTAGTGCAACCATTGTTTACCTACGTCTAACTGCTTGGTCGCATTCAGGACAAAAATATTTACGTGTATATTCTTTATTATGGTCCTGCTTTCCAGCTCTCCATTCAGCAACTGTCAGTACAGACCACCGTGTTGTTTCGGTGTCTTCCTCTTCAAGATCTACCCGTCGTTGGAGTTCACTTGCTCAAACGAATGCCACCACGAATCCTGCTCTTCAATGCTTTGGTCGACACAAACGTAAGCCTCTTCTCTCAAACCGTTCTCTATACCAATTTACTCATGCTGCATGTCAATGCTAAATCCCATTGCAAATCCATTCCTCCCCTAAATCCAGTACTATATATTGACGCTACCGCTATTGTTAATAACCATGCTATTATATGCCTTCAGACCATTGTCCATATTGAATGAGATCATTGTCAAAATCGATTATTCATAGCCAATGCTCATGCTGCACCACATAAACATATGTTCAAATAGTGGCTACTTCAGCTGACCTGAAGTGGCCATTCAAAATTAAACGGCGCCAATTCCACGTTCGTGTTTTATATGCCATGACGATAAATAAAAGCCAAGGCCAAACATTAGGTAGAGTTGGTGTTTACCTGCCAAGCCCTGTATTTTCCACGGCCAATTGTACGTTGCCTTCTCACGTGTTACATCTCCAAGAGGCGTACGGGTCCTCATTGAAAATAACCCCCCTGGATATAAAGACAGTACCCATAATGTTGTCTACAAGGAAATTTTTGAAGAGATATCCAACTGATATACTCAGATTGGCCAGGTCCCCTCACTAACCTCGATTTCCTTTAACATCAACCACCTGTACCTGTTTATTCTCTAATGCATCTGTTATTGTTTCAGTTTTAGTCTACTGTGTTACTACCCACATGTAAGAACTGCGCAGGCTTTGTGCCATCTCTGTGTTACACCCTTTGCTATGATCCATGCTACCAAGAAGCCCACTGCTTATAAGGTAACAATTTCGCCTCTCACAGTTAGACTTAGCTTGAAGGGCGGGACTGGTGCAAGCGGTAGAGCCTTACCGCCTATGACCGGAAGGTCCCGGGTTCAAGTCGCGGTCTCCTCGCATTGCACAGGCGAGGGTAAGGCTTGCCACTGACACCCTTCCCCAGACCCCGCATAGAGCGGGAGCTCTCTGCACTGGGTACGCCCTTTACAGTTAGACTTAGCTTGCCCAAATATTATCGACATACTCATTTTCCTCCACCAACAGCTGAGTCTAATTATGTACTCTCCAATTTAAAACTTTATGCTTCAAGTTAGATGCACATTGTATGCAGCCCTTCTATTCCAAATACTGGACATAACTTTTTCTGTGTTTTTTTATAGCTTCTTCTCCATACCTACACAGCAGCCAGTTGCTCTAGGTGCAAGCGACCGACAGTTGATTCGTGAAACTTTGGGTAAACACATATGCAATATTAACTCTATCCTTGCCATTTGCCTTTGTCCTCCACAGCGCCAAAAATATTCTTAGTAAGGGCCACACATGTTCTATGCCCTCTATATGTGAGTGTTGCCTCCAAGGTCCATGCAACCACACAAGCCTTTTGTTATCAGATAATAATACTCCACATCACACTCACCCCAAAAAAGGACTATTACCAATACAAACTGTGTTTATCAGCCTCCTTCACTTTTACCATCAGGTTTTAGACTTGGTTTTCAACATCTAAACAGAGATCAAAGCTTCAGGTGCAAACTAAAGTAGCTATTTTCAATATGTACACAGGGATCAGAGCTTCAGGTGAAAACTACAGTACCCTTTTCCAGTTTTTTCCCAGCACATATGCAAGATTGCCATCTTCCCAACATCAGCAATTGTCCATTGTAACACAAATACCTATTCCCATATGCAGTAAGGAGCAGTAACTAGAGACCGTGCAGTAATTAGATAGCACTGCTTGATATCATCTATCCTTTACCTCAGTGTTCCCTTTTTTAAGTAATATGTTCCTTATTTTAATTTATGGTCCTCCTGCCAATAGTCTCAATTCCTAATCATTTGCTGATTGTAGAGCAAAATGTTATAATGTGCCTTCTTTCGCTGTTACTTTCGGCTGCTCCTCACTGCTTTCAGCACGCATAGTCATCATTTATTTTATATAAATTGAAGTTTCAGAGCAATAGGCAATACATCATTTGACAAATTGAACGACAATATAGAAATTTAGGCACTCTACAAAACATGCTATATTTGCTCTGTGCATATCCCTTGCTCATTTTGGTATAAACATTCCTATGATGCCCCTTGCACACCAGGTGGGCGGTTCTGCAAAACATGAATCCACTTTGGACGGTCTCACCCTCATCCTGTTCACCTTACAATTCATTTTGGTAAGTATGATCTTGATTTGGTGTGCTACGTCACCTCATTTTGAGTTTTGCATTCAGCCATGATACGTCTGTCATTTATAATTATTCTCATCCTCACAATGTCTTCACTCCTGTCCCAAGAAGATGCCTATTGACAAAGTTGGTCCTGCGCAGCTGTTTGCCTTACAAAGCATGCCATAACTTTGCCTTGCTTATACGATACACAGAAACTGATGCTTCTGTTGTTACTAACCTTTCCTTCCATGTAATTATGAAATTATTCACAGTATGTTTTTTATTCACCTTTGCCACCTTTGGTCTGGGCCAAAGGCTTGCTTCTGACTCTCACTCCGTACCATGTTCATGCAGTTAGTTCCATGACAACTCTTCAACCTACAGCCCCAGTTAGCCTTTGGGTGTTTTTTGTCTACTTGAATGTAATATATATTTCATCTTCGGTGGAGGTTCTAGATCTGCTTATGCTGGAATGGCGACCTGGCTGGCTTACCCCATTTAATCGACGCCTGCAAATGCCTTTTCTGTCTAAAGACACATTGTCACTACAGTTTAACCCAAGACAAAGAGATACCAGGATTATGTTTCCTTGCTTCAGTTATGCTAAGAGATCTTCAATGTACGTATATTCAGTTCTAAAACTGTATACAGATGCTAATAAAGTTCATTCTGGAATCTTAGTTGCTATACAAATCTTAAACAAATCGATATCAAGATTTTATATATATATATATATATATATATATATATATATATATATATATATATATATATATATATAGCTAGCTAGCTAGCTAGCTAGTACCTGCAATCCACCATCGATGAAGTGGACATGGGAGTCGATGAACCCCGGTAGCACCACGTTCTCACTGAGACTCAGCTCATGCGTGTGGCGACCCTTGAGCTCCTGCAAGCACACACAGCGTACAGGGCAGCCAGCAGCAGAGCCGAATTTTTTACATTTTAGCCCTTTTTTTTGAAAGTTTCTCACAAATAGACCACTGGCGGAAAAAATTCAGAAAATGGACCCTTAGCTCGGCGCCATCGATGCTGGCGTCGAGCTCCTGGGCTTGGTAGATGGCATGGCAGGGAGTTGGCGTCGAGCTCGGCGCCATAGATCTTGGCGTCGAGCTCGGCGCCAGAGTGACTGGCGCTGAGCTCCCTGCCATTTAACCTCGGCCTAACCTTCCTGTCCGAGCGTTTTTCCTCTTCTTTCTCCTCTCTCTCTCGGGTTTTTTCTCTCTTCACTTCACCCTACCTCACGAATCGGCATATTGGATCTTGGAAACTTTGATTTGATCCGTAGATCTTCGAGAGCAATGTATCATTGCTTCCCTCCTAGTTTTTTTTCGCATTGATTCGGTATATATTAGTCGGATTTTTGAACGTAATAATCGTCATCACTTAGGGTTTCATTCTATCCCTCAATATATGTATTATACAACCGTAGGATGATGCCAAGGCGTGTAAAAAGCTAGTAAACCTAGGCGCATGTAGTTATGTTACGTGTTCATTGTTGTGCATCAAATGAAAAACCCTAGGTTTAGGGTTTAATGTTAACTGCTTTCGGTTCTTAGAACGAAATTGGTTGTATTGTAATTATGCTTCTTATCGACATTTATTTGTGATGTTTTGATTTATGTTTGTTAAATTACATCCGTTTTGTTAGATGTAAGAAATGTTTCGGGAGGAGTTTTGACGAAAACGGGGTCGTCCTCGAGAATTATACCCCGACGCGTCTAGCAAAGATGCCCCCGTCCCTCCTGACCTCCCTGTCCCTAACTGTGACTGTGGTTTCCCGGCCCATGTTTTTCAATCGAAACATCCGGACACAGCGGCACGTAGCTTCTACACATGCAGTCGTTTCAATGTAAGAAATTGTTTCCATTATTCTTTTTTTATTTGTGTAAGTATGCTACTAATTTTTTGTTGGAATCTCGTTGTGTAGGACCATAAGAGGTGCTTTTTCTTTTAGTGGATCGACGGTGCAGACAAGTTTGATCCTAGGTACCTCCTTTTTGACGATTGGTTTAGAGGGAGACATCCACGTGAGCACTTCAAGCGGTGGGTTCCACCCCCCCTAACCCTCCGCCAATGACGGCTAAGGAGAAGCACCTAGCCGTAGTTAGCCGACTTGAGGAACCTCCTCTGTGCGATTGTGGAGATCGAGCTGTGATAAACCCTGAGAATACGTTGGAGTTTGTGTGTCCAAACAAGCATGAAATAAGTGCAAAGTGTATGTGTTAAAATATTGAACTATATGTGTTCATGTACTAATGTCTACTTATTTAGGTGTTTTCAATGGCGAAGTGTCGTTTCAAGGAGTGGTTGTATGGTCCTAAGAACCAATGGCCGGAAGAACCGCGAAAGGTTAAGGAAACGAAGAAAGAAAGGGTAATTTACAAAGCACCTCCTGTCATGTGCGAATGTGATGTTAAATCCAACTATGGTCTAGTCCATTCAGAGCTTGGAATATGTCATTATTGCGGCCATATGGTTGAGTATGATAAGGTTGATTATTTTTGTGGTAAACATAAAATCGTATTTTGTTTCTTTTGCTAAGACATATATGATATAATTTTTCGTTTGAACAGAGAGCACTAGAAAATGCAGGTGGGAATGTTACAATGGTCAAGCTAAGTTCTTGGATGAACTGAAGAAGAGGCAAGTAATTGCATGGAAGAGGGGATATAGACCTGACTACGTCAATCTATTCGTTAAACATCACAAAGAAAAGATGCGTGAGTTTGCTAGACAGCGTGAGATTTGTAACCCGCTCGATGTTTGGCTTAACAGATGGGGATTGGAGAGACGGATGATGTTAGAGGAGGAGAGGGCAAGGAATGAGACAAGGGAGGAGACAAGAGTACAGATGCAGGTCTTGAACGAGCATGATATTGCATTATGTGCCAGTGAGTGCTTGAAAGCATTTTTTTCGCTGCCTGATTTTAAATGTAATATAATCGCGTTGCTAACTGATTGCATTTCATACATGAAGGGATTGGTTGCAACGAGGAACATGCCGCAGAGCTGGCTCGTGCAAGGTATGAGAAGAAGAAGTTAGATGAGCATAGATCTCGAGTTGGTCGCACCGTTCAATCACCGATTGTGTTGTCTGATGAGGGGGACGAGGATGAGGACGACACTGGCAGACTGAGTGAGCTCATTACTCTAGCAGAGGCGGGCTTGCAGGCACAGGAGGTTGAGGACGATACTGGCAGACTGAGAGAGCTCATCGCTCTAGCAGAGGCAGGGTTGCAGACAGAGGAGGCTGAGGAAGACACTGACAGACTGAGCGAGCTCATTGGGCTAACAGAGGCGAGCTTATAGGCGGAGGAGGATGACGACGCGTTCTTCACTCAGGCCGCAGCAGCCGCAGATGAAGCGAAGGCCGCTTACTACAGGCGACAGGCAGGTCAGAGCAACGCAGGTGAGCCTAGCCACAGCAACAGGGTTGTAGTAGATGACTGTTACTCGGATGATGAGTTGCTTACTCAGTACATTTCAGACTGAGGATTTGTTAGTGCATTTGCCCCTATGTCTACTATCGGCACGTACTTCTAGTATTAATATGTTGTGTAATGTGGCATAGTATTGAACTTTTCATTATGTGGTTGTTTTCATTATTTATGGTCTTAATATTCTGCTTAATGATACGGACGTATTGAAATGTGAACACGTGCTGCAAAAAAAACTAACGACGTACGACATTATATAATTCAACACACGAAACACATGAAATGGCATGTGAGAACATGTACCGAACCTGGGTACAGAGTTTCCTTCGACTAAACCTAACATGCCTTAGGTAATTAAACCAAACAACAAATACATAGATGTGGCATGTAAAAAAGATAAAGCCATCCTAGTAGTGTGGCCACATAGCAAATTATGTTGCATCTTCTCTATAGTAGCCTCCCGTTGTTGTTGTTGGTGGTGGTGGGTGTGACGGGAGAGGCCTCTTGTTCTTGTGGTTAGGGCAGGTGCAATATGGATCATTGTAGAGAGCCTCCTGTGAATCGGCACCATTGTTGTTTTCGTCCTATCCGTCGTCCTTGTAATCGCTGCTGTCGGGTTCATAAACCCAGGGTCCCTCGGGGACCGGCTTCCACGTCAGGGCTCGGCCTAAGAAAACAACATGTAGTTCATGAGCCGGCCCAAGAGTCTAAAACACAACGGGCCGACAGGACAGTCCGATCGCCGACCGGAAGGTCTACCCAAAGGAACAAACACCCGCTCGTCAACTTCTTCGGCCCACCTCTCCGACCGGAGCACTCGCTTCGGACACCAGTCGCCTCCGGGTGGTCTCTCCGATCGGAAGGCCTGGCCCAAAACGCTGCTTCCTACTCCGACCCCGCGTCTCCGACCGGGGACCCCGTAGGAAGCCTGCTTACCGCTCTTCTCCGACTGGCGCGGCCAGGCCCAACTGGGGCCATCCGACCGAGGACGCCCGCTCGAAAGGGACCAAGGGCGAATGGAGAAGGCAGCGCACAAGTCAAACCACGATACTAGGACCATACCCTGTACGCCTGCGGGAACAGTGCTCCACAACTGCCCTAACACAAACAGTATTGTAGACGCCGACATTTGTGTCTACAGTGTTGTAGGCGCCGTTGGACTCCCGTACGGCGAAAAGCCCCCCACATACCTCTGGGCATTGATAGTACTGTGGGCGCCAGGATTCACCATACCTGGTACATGTGGTAGGGCTCCTCACATACCAACAGTATTTTGTAGGTACCGACATCTACCCTTCCTGAAGAAGACAACGCAACCTCCCATGTGCACCTGACATTCTACAGTGACATCAACAGTGTTATGGACGCCTACCATTATCCAATCCTCATCGGCGTGGGCAACAAGGCTTAAAAGCATCCGTACCCTCTCCCTCTTACCTGTAAAGCCATCCCCTTCATCTATAAAAGGGGATGCACTCCCTCCAACAGGAGGACGGGCCAATTGATTCAAGCTCAGTTCCTTTAGATTCATTAGTCCAATAGCTCACAATCACAGAACCGCCAGGTTCGAACCTCAGGCACACGCTTGAACACTTAGCTTATAGCGGAGTTCCCATCGCTCTCGGCCCTTCCGACCGGGCTTCTAACACCCCCTTTCTCATTCCTATTCGTTTGTAACCCCACTACAGACTTCGAGCACCTAGGCTCAGGAATAAAGTCACTGACCGACCCACACTGGACGTAGGGCACGTTGCCTGAACCAGTATAAATCCTGTGTCATTGAGTGCTAGGCCACCTTCGATCACAACGTACAGCAAAACTACAAATATTCACTAGTTGGTCACTTTCTGTACCGACAACTGCTAACTTTCATACAATGCCTCAACGGTCCTGATAATTGTCCTCACCTTCATGTTGGGTTCTCCTTGCAAAATTCCCATCAACCGCTTGACAATGAGGGTAGATGTCAACTATTGATGCCTCAGTGTCAGCTCATGGTCAGCACAATTGTGTGGCCCGACAACTTTTATGATCTTCCATTTTCTGGTTACTTATTGCTTCCTTGCACAAACCCTCCATGGGCAGCATTCCTTGTCACACACAACTGTGTAACGTCGCTCCGCATATGAATGCAATACCTTGTAAGGTCTCTTTCATATCACTGCAAAAGCCTGCAACCACCTCTTCAAAGCAGGGAGGTCATTGAACACCCTCCCATTCTCAATTACCATGTTAGGACCGGCCTCAGGAGCTTCTAGGAGCTCATCATCACGTCCTTCTGCAAACGTCAGATCGGAATGAGCAAGATCGCTGAACTCGTGAACTCTAGGATCATGGCGGCCGGGAAAGATACGCCTCATCATCTCAACATCACTCTTCGTCAGCTCTCCAACAGGGCGATCATCATCAGAATCAAGAGCCCTAGCCATCTCATATGGCTCCGAATCATTCATAATTTCAACACTATTGGAGCCACGGAATCCATCTCCAAAGTGCACTTGCGCAGCAACAGGGGGCACATCCACATTCTTAGGAATGTCTCCTGCAACATAAATAGAGAAATGAGGAAAGAATGAAAGAAATAGATGTAAGAAACGGGGTAAGCTTCCAAAAACCATACAGTTAAGACACTTACTCGGATGATTCTGTGTCAAAGGGATCTCATAAGGAGGATCTACCACGAAAACATGAGTCTAACAACCATCTCTAACTACCGCATTCGGGGCAGATTGAGTATCGGGAACCGTAGGTGCAATCTCCACATACAGATAAGGTTCCGAAATGGGAGGGTCGATGTGTGCTTGCTGATCCATTGTTGGGGTAAACCCATGAGGGATGGGATCAACTAACACTCGACTCACAACCACGTCCAAACATTGCAGCTGGCTCTTCATAGCCGATCTCACATAGTTCTCCCACTGATCCGCACAATCAATTGAGATCATTCGCCTGAAGATGTTGGGAGGAGAACCTAGGTGCAGTACACCATCAACTGCAATGCCATCATCTCCAAGGCAATGCAGCTCCTCCTGAGCCCTTGCAACCATCTCACTAAATGAAGGTCTATTATTGAATAGCACAGGCACGCTTTGCATGTCAACAAACTCAACATATCCATAGCGATCGCCTTCAATGGTGCCTCCATGATATATGGTCACTAGGTTGTCCATCTAGTTTAAACACGTAACGAAACATATGTCCTTTACTCCAAATTAGACGATACATAGTACCTAACAAGTACTTTCTAACTACAAACTAAGTAAATAAGATAATAACTACGTATATATATACAATGTACTCACCAAATAGCTAGATCATCTAAGTAGCTATCTAACTATATCTATGTACCTATGTATCTATGTTTCTATCTATCTACATATATATCTCACTAGATCACTAACTAAATCAACTACCTGAGTCATCACATTAACTAGTAAATAACAAATGCCAACTAAGTAGGTACATTGTATATTCATAATTTTTACCTTTCCAACGACTGATCCGCGGACGTCGACGGAGTCGCAGCGAACGATGGGCATGGGTCAGGCCGACGATCCGGGCCGGCGGTGGCGCGTGATGGGCGCGGATGCCCGGGGCTCCGCGCGGCGAGTCTAGCTCGATGGGCGCGGGAGGCATGGCGGCCGCAGCCGAGGCCGGCGGTGGAGGGCGGCAAGGCGGGGCGAGGCCAAGGCGAGGAGAGGGCGCGACGCGAGAGCAGGAACCGGCGAGGGGACCGGGGCGCGGGCGGCCACCATGGGCAAGCGTGGCCAGAACCCATGGGCGTGGCGCCTCAAGACGCGTGAGCGCGTCATGCTGGCAGCGCGCGGCGGGCTGGGGCGGCCGTGGTGGCACTCGGCGGGCGCGGGAGCAGGCACGGTGGCGCGGGCGTGGGCGAGGGCGGCCGGTGGAGGCGCGGGCGCGGGCGGCGGCGGCGGGTGAGGGCGGCTCTGCTCTGCTAGGGCAAGAGAGGGAGATGAAGAGAGGTGCGGGGCCCATAGGTAATAAAGGCTCGGCGCCAGTCACTTTGGCGCCGAGCTCGGCGTCAAGATCTACGGTGCGAGCTCGGCGCTAGAGTGACTGGCGCCGAGCTCCCTGCCATGCCATCTACCGAGCCCAGGAGCTCGGCGCCAGCATCGATGGCGCCGAGCTAAGGGTCCATTTTCTGAATTCTTTCCGTCAGTGGTCTATTTGTGAGAAACTTTCAAAAAAGGGCTAAAATGTAAAAAATTCGGGCAGCAGAGTATCAGATGGAGGGGGAGAGCGAAGCGTCGACAGCCGGGACCTTGACAGACTCGTAGGTGCCGATGCGGAGCACGCGGCCGCCGCGGACGGCCATGGCGTCAGCGAACGGGTGGGCGGGGTCAGCGGTGTAGATGGTGGCGTTGGCCAGGATCATGTCGGCGAAGCGGTCCCGCGGCGGCGTCCCTGCAAATGCGAGGAGAGGCGGGCGGGTCAGCCTTTATCGCACACAAGAGGGGAGCAGGAGAGAGGAGGGCTGCGGCGTAGCATACATGGGAAGGGGAGGAGGACGGTGGCCGTGGCTATGGCGACGGCCACCGCGAGGAGAGCGCTGTGGGCGGCTATTGGCAATGGCATGATGGGAATTGAGATCCCTTCTCCCTCTCCCTCTCCGAATTGAAACTGAAACCAAACCACCAACCAAACGGCGTGGCTGTTCTAGGTCCGTTCAAATACTGTACTTGGCAGTATACTAGTACTTGTCAAAAACAATCAACTGTCAGCGACTGTGAACTCTGAAAAAACAAACAACCTTAAAATAAAGGAGGAAGGGTTTGTCGGGATCGAACTGGAAAACGAAATAACATTATCACAGGAATATATGAATATATACTAGTAGGTCCAATGAGGAGAAATTTATTCAAAATCCTCTACTGGCGTGTCAGTGTTCATGTCACTGCTCTTGCCTACTTGCACCAGCGATAGAGACGCAACAGGTATTGACAAGCTGCTTGAGGAGTGGACCATGGTTTATGTTGGTTGATCGACGATCTTCAATTGTTCTATTGGATGGATATTACGCCAAAATTTCACAAACCATTTTTTTATGAAAAAATCAGTTCCTTTTCACATGAAACAGAATAAAATCCAGCGTTCCACGCAGGCTATAGCGCCAAAACAATCGTTTTCCTTGAGTTGTTCATCCACCCACAACCAACCACGTCCATGTGGCTCTGGCACAAGTCAAAATAAAGATTCAGGGCAGTGTTACTACCTACGGGTACGGATATAACCCAACAAACTCCTGTACAAATATATAACTACTGGCAAGATTGAAAAAAAAACTGCTCCCCCAACAACTTTCTATCTTAATTCCCAATCTTTCCGTACTTGGTAAACTCAACCTAATCGTACGGATAAATACATGCGTGTATAAGTGTATTCATCGGCCAATCTAAAGTGGAAGGACATAAGGAAGAATAGAGGGGGTGTTTGGATCCCTGCCTATCCCTCTAGATAGGCTCTGTAAAGCCAACTTCGACTTGTTTGGTTGGTCGAATAGCCCTTCTAGGACCTCTTAGCTTGGGTAGCCACCAACCGGATTCTGATGCAAATATATAAGAGAGAAAGAAAATATAAAAGTGATTAGAATGATTTAGAAATAGTCTAGGATTCATGACGTAAAATTGTCTTCTATATTTTAGGACTGAGATTTTAATTTTTTTTGGAGGAACACAATAAATATGCTTCCAACTCTTTAGCCACTTGGAAAAGTCATTGATTTACCTTTTTTTTTGAGAAACTATTGGAGATGCTCTATAATCAAGTTCATGCTCACCTGTGCACCCCCTTGGTCTTTTATGGACATCATCCTTGCAAACTATAGCAAATTTGAAAAAGGAGTGTTCTGGGATCCTAACAGATTTAATTTTACAGGCAGAACAAATGTACAATTTAGTCGCTGTCCCCTTTAGTTTCCCAAGGGCATCACACCAAATCTGATCAAGTTTTAGATCACTCCTCTTCATATTTGTCAAATTTATGTAACGTGTATCATTTAGGCAATGTTGCATCAAAGTGAGGCTGTCAGTGTATGCTGTTGCTCGTGCTGTTAGCAAGTTGCTGGCCTTTGTACCAGCGGCCTCAAGTCAGTTTGAAAATTACATTTGCCACTCTTGAGAATTATGTGATTTTTTAAATCTAAATAATCATGCCAGACTAGTATGGCAATGCATATGTGATTTCAAAGTTCATAAAGTGTCAGGTCGCATTTTACATGTCAGTCTGTTATGGTAGTTCCTCTTCAACCGCAGCCGATGAAGTGGTGGCCGCCGAGTTGTGCTGCATAGGAGTAGGACCATGCAGAGCGGGGCGGGGGCCGGGGGAGCTGAGCCGCCCAACGCCGGTACTGCTCGCTCTCTCGCACGTGCCTTGCGCGGCGGCCGTCTCCTGAAGAGCGGCAGGACGAAGCCCCAGCGTCGTTCGTCCGTCCTCTTCCTCGTACCGAGTTCGCGTTCACTGCCGGAAAGGACCGGCACCGGCGAGAAGCCATGCGAGAGGACTCGGAGGTCACCGGTGGCGGCGTGACGGAGCACCGGAGCGGGGCGGTGGCTTCATGGGACGGGGAGAGGCGGCTGGGGCTGGGCATGGCTTTTTAGGACAGGGCGGGGGTTTGAAAAAAAAAACGTGCTTTTTAGGAGTAGAGACTCTCTGTTTGTAGTACTAGTTCTAGTTCGTATGGTACACCGTACACGTGTTTGGCCAAGAAAGAAAAGGAGAGATAATAGATTAGATCTAAGTCCACCGACTTGCATGGGCAATATATAGCGGACCGTGCCCTACTCTGGATCCTCGTCGAAACAATCATGGCCGGTTCGCGACGCCGCCGCCAACTCCAGCGGCAGAGGGAGAGGCAGCTGGCCGCCGCCGCCACCGCCGCAGCTGCCCCTGCCCCAGCTGGCCAGTTCCAGGTCCAACACCTCCCGTCCGATCTGCTGTCCGAGATCCACCACCGCCTCGCCTTCCTCACGCGCCTCGCCTTCGCCTCCGTCTGCGCCGCGTCGGGGCACCGCTTGAAGCCGGAGACGCCGTGGCTCATCCTCCCTGCGGAGAACGAGGTCCTGTCCCTGGCCGACGGGGAGTCCGCCACCGTGCGCACCTCTGACGTCGCTATGCGCGGCCACGTCGCCATCGGCTCCTCGGGCGGGTGGCTCGTGACGGCCGACGACCGGGGCGCCCTGCGCATGACCAACCCGGCCACGGGCGCGCACGCCGACCTGCCGGCCATCACCACCATCCCGTTCATCCACCCGGTCTCCGGCGGCCACTGGTTCTGCCTCCACGTGGAACCCTTCCTTCAGGTCCGCTTCGGAGGCCAACCCCCACCCCCGACGACGGAACGCAGAGACGACTTTTCGAGGGGGAGGACGTACACGGTCACGGCCGCCCAGATGCGACAGGTGTTCTACCGCAAGGTCGTCCTCTCGGAATCGCCGCGCCCGAACAGCTACGCCGCCATGCTCATCATGGACCGGTGCACCGGCGCCCCGGCCTTCGCGACGGCGGAGGACCCCTCGTGGAGGATGGCGCGCTCCCCCGACGCCGTCGAGGACGCCATACACCACGACGGCCGCTTCCTGTCCATCACCTACACCGGCCGCGTCGAGGCGTGGCAGCGCGACGCCGTGACCGGCGAGTTCACCAGCGGTGAGGTCGCGCCGAGGCTGGCTTACGAGGACAAGCACCTGCGCCGCAAGTACCTCGCGGCGTCGACGGAGGGGCGGCTGATGGCCGTGCTCAAGCACGCTAAGGAGGAAGATAATGACGATCGCTACTCCAGGGGCAAGCGCACTCGCGTTTTCTTCAAGGTCCAGATACTGGACCGCGTCAAGGGCCGGTGGGAGGAGGAGGCGGACATCGGCGACACCGCGCTCTTCGTCGGCGTCAACGGGTCGCTGTGCCTGTCGACGAGGAATCACCAGGGCATCAGGCCTGGCTGCGTCTACTTCACCGACGACGAGGTCGGGGCTTTCTGCCTGAAGAAAGCCAACTGCCAGGAGAGATCCTATTCCTACGGCCAAGCCGACGACCCCGAGCTCAGAGACGTTGGCCTCTATAACCTAAAGGCCGGCAGGGTAGAGACTATACCCGCGCTCGGCGAGCATCAGCTATGGCCGCCGCCGGCGTGGTTCACGCCTTCCTTCCTGTGACCACTGCGCGGATCCTTCCTAGATTTCCCCTTTTTTCCTCGTTGCTTAATGAGATAAGACGCGATCAATATCATGCAGCATATCGATCATAAGCGGGACTACATCTGTTTTATTTATTCCTTTCCTATCATATTGTACCGTTTTTTATCTACCACGGAATTTCATCATTGAGTAAAAACTAGTACTACTTTTATTTGATGGTTATCACATAGGATTTCAGCCTGTTTGCTTGCTCGTAAACGATCGTAAATTTTCAGCTGGTAACAGTGTTTTCCTCTCACACCAAACCAGCCAGCAGTAAATAATCCACGATACGATACGGCCTCCCGAACAGGCTGTTTGTTACTGTTAGTATACTTTCATTTGATTGTTATAACGTAGGATTTGTTATTGGTGCTTTCCTGATTGAACGTAGGATTAGTTAATGATTATTGGTAACACACCAACAAATTAAGGCTACCAAAATCGTGTGCCTTAAGTATTTGGATATGGAAATTCGTCTGATATGGCTACTAAAATTTAGTAATGGGTATTGAAATTCGTCTGATGTGACTAGTTACCATTTACTAAATTTTTAAGAAAATATAATCTTAGAAGCTGGAAAAACATAATTCGCTATTTTCAAACATAGGCGCCGTTCGCTGGTCTGAAACTTGGCTGAAACTGACTGGTTTTGTGAGAGAGAAACATTGTAGCGGCAGGTTGATCAACAGTATTTTGTGAGAGCAACCAGCCGGCTGGTCCGGTTTTGTGAGACCAGCGAACAATGCCATTGTTGGAAGAAATTTATATTCTTTTTTACACAAAATTATAAAGATTACCGTTTTTTTAATTTTTTTTTTCTTCCCAAACTATATTCCTCTATTTTACTTCGAAAACACTCTTTATAGGACGTCCGTCTGTATAGACCCCGCACTCGCCCACACTGCCCCCGCCCGCGTCGCCCGCTCGCTCTGCTCGCGGGACGGATACCGTCCTCGCACGCGCGCCCCCGCTCGCGTCAACGCCGCGCATGGCGAGCCCGACGCGCTAGGCGCTCGGTCGCGGACTCGTGCCTCCCGTCGCGGCCATGCTCCATCCGCTTGCCCCTGCCCCTACCAAGGTTCGTGCCGCCGCCGAGCTCCACACCGGTGACCTCCGCGCCACTCCGTGGCTTCGAGCTTCGTGTCGACGTCGAGCTCCATGTTGACGAGCCTCCATTCGTCCAATCAGCAAGCAGATGCTATGCTGAAAGGGCATGCTGCAATAGTATGTTTCAAGTGCTTCAGATGTTTCCGAGGTATGTTACAAGTGTTGTACATCAATGTTACAAAAGTAGATCGGGATGTTGCACATGTTGTAATGGCTATACACGTATGTTTCAAGTGTATGTTCCAAATGTTTCATCTGTTCCAGACTAGTGTTGCAAGTGTTTTGTCTGGATGTGGCAAAAGTAGATCTAGATGTTGCATACACATGCATATTGCAAGCATATGTTTCAAGTGTTTTCAGGTGTTTCATACGTATATTTGCAAGTATTTTGTCTGGATGTTGCTATGTTTGCAATGGTTTTCAAATATTTTTCAAGCGTTTTCGCAAGTATTTCATACGCTTGTTTCAAGTGTTTGTTGCATCTGGATGTTTCAAAAGTAGATCGGACGTTGTACATAGGATGCGCGTAGGAAGCGGCTAGCAACGCGGACGACGTCTGGGGCGACTTCTGAGGCAGCGTAAAACCACTACTAATGTGCTCCCTCGCGAGCCCGCTAACGCTCGTTCGCTCGCTCGCTGTGCAGGCAGCGTCGGGCACTAGCAAGTCCATTTTCACTTCCCAAAGTGCCCTCATGTTCGGCCCTCGCGTTCTCCATATCTCAATATGTGATCCGGCCCTCGCGTTCTCCATATCTCAATATCATCCGGATTCATGATCCCATACTCATGTAATTCAATTTCAAGACATTGAATATGATACAAAATTCGATTTGAAGACGTGTTAAGTTCTATGCAATGGAGTCTGATTGACGTGTTGAGTTCCATGCAACGCCACGCACGTTTGTGTATAACCGATAAACATATCCAGGATTTGTTAGAACATCACCGAAACCAGGCCGTTGCAGCTTGCAGGAGCGAATGCGTCTCTGCTTTATTATATTATATTCTTATAATTATTTTAATACTTCATTCACTGGCCAGGCCATTGCAGGATCGAATGCGTCTCTGGTTCATTGTTGTTTCGCTTTCGCAAGGCTCGACGGGCCTCTCTCTTCACGGGCCTCCGGCACGGCACCATCAGCTGGGAAGCTGAGACCTGTAGATGTCATGGCACGACGACGTCGGCATCAGGGGACAGAGTCAGAGAGAGAAGGCGTACCGCGTCGGCGGCGGCAGGTACTGCTCGTGCACGCACGGCGACCAGCTGTCGTCGCCGCCCAGCCCCATGTGCCTGTGGTCAAGATGCACCTGCAAACCAAACACAAAGCCGAGCCATCACTCCCCGACCACTTCGCAGCAACTCGGCCGATGCCGGCCAGGAGCTCAAAAACAAAAACACGTCGCTTCCTCACCTCGATGTCGTCCCTCTTCACCAGCCTGTGGACGTGCGTCGCCCTGTCCAGCTCCGTGGCGCCGTATCCGCGGCGCCGTAGTAGCTGGCGCTCATCTGCATCGGCGGGGAGCCGCCGTGCGCCGACGCGTACAGTCCGAGCCCGCCGGCGTCGCGGAGCGCCACCCACCTGACGTCGGCCCGCCCGCCGCACTCCACGGGGGCAATGTACGGCACATGTAGCTCCTCCACTCTGCTCTCGTACACGCCGACGCCTTGTGGTCCGGGTAGCACTCGAAGGGCCCACGCCCGTACCGCGTGACGTGGCTCAGGGACCTCTCGGCGCTGAACACGACGCCCACCCGTGGAAGGGGAGGGAGGTCGCTCCTGGGGTTCACCTCGTAGTCGAGAACCACATCGCCTGACTCGTGAATCCGGCAGACCATCTTCACCCGGAAGAGAATGGACTCGGAGGCTTCGTCATCAGGCTTCGGTAAGTGCCCGGGAACACCGTAGTAGACGGTGGAGAACTCCACGGTGTTGTCCAGCGATTCCTTGACGGAGAACTGGCTGCTGTGGAACGTGACGTTGTCGAGGAAGGCTTCTCTCCATCGCGAAGCATATGGCTTGGTGAAGAAACCTCCTTTGTCGTTGTCAGTTGGTGCGCACCAAAAGCATGGGAGTATCCCCTTGCTCATAAGCTCAACGCCGCTGACCTGTTGTTTGTAAAAGCACCATGAGTTTTAGGCTTTAGCAACGTTCCTTTACAAAAATATATCCCAAGTTTTCTTAAATGGGTAAAAGTAAAGGTACTGAAACATCAAATTCCAAAAGTTGGTTAAAAGCTTGGCAAGAGTAATATGACTGGTACATATGGGAATGAGCGAGAACGGTTCAACGATAGTATTAGAAAACAAATTCACAGAACTTTTGACAGAAAATGAAACTACCTGCCTACCTGGTGGCCTAGTGGGGAGGATGCCCAATATCCCATGGCCGAATTTATGTTAGTTTTTTACGTTAAAAAAAGGAACCAATGAAGGAGGACATTGCAGCTGCTTATAGTGAAACTATGAGAAGTCAGTTTGCCAAGAGTTTTCAATCACAAGCCACGACTAGCTATGTCATACAGTACATTTCAGTTTGCTCTACGTAAAGCCATTTACTATTGGGACCCTTCAAATTTTTTAGACCAACATAATGCTGAACGCGCTTGTGCATCAGACACGATGGGGATGAACCAAAAATATATACATTTAAATACATACGAGTACAGGGCATTCTATGACAGATTTGATTTACACTTGCCTATGTTAGTACTTTTGGCATGTATTAATTGTTATTAATTGCCTACCATACAAGTATGGGCAGCATGTTCTTAGCCCCCCATGAACATTCTACATACCTTCCAGCTGTCGATTGTTCCCAGTTGACTGTTTACTTTAATTTTCCTTGGCCTTGCAGATGGTTACACTATCACCAATGCGTTCACAGACCAAAGGGCTACTGGAGAATGCTATAACCTGAAGATGATATTAAGCTGTAAGACAATGAGGAAGAAACAGGAGTAAAATGGTATTGAGGTGTAAGACAATGAGGATGGGACAGGAGTAAAATAATATTAAGCTGTAAGACAATGAGGACGAAACAGGAGTAAAATAGTATTAAGCTGTAAGACAATGAGGATGAAACAGGAGTAAAGTAGTAAACAAGATCAGGCTGAGAAAACATACGTTGGGGACAAAGACATTTTTCTGAGGCAAACACAGTTGTGCTGAAGCCAAGAGATGACCGGCTTTAGCCCATCGTGTTTCATGCCTCTGTTTCACATTTACAGACAAAAATACTTCTTTTGCTGCACAAGCACTCCAAAGGGCAAACCATGGTGATGATTCCATGTTGATGAGCTGACTAGTTTGCGGTGCCAAAGTTGGAACATTCAAAGGACCAGAGCCCAAGATGCAACCATCTCCATGAAGAACCCAACTGAAGTCCAAAGCTTCTGTTGTCTCAAAAAAGTGTCCATTTTCAATCTGTGTGATAATAACGGAACTATTAGAAGCACAAAGCACATAAGAAAATAACTTGATGACTAACAAACATCAACCAGAGGTTACCTTAACCATGTTTTCTGCTGATGATATTTTGATAGGCTGGTGAAGGTATTTAACTTCTGCAACCAGAATCAATTTGGTCAACCAAGTTTGGCATACAATGACTTTGGAGACAAAAGATATTAGTTAACAAATTGATACATAAGACAAAAACATTTTTCCCTAGTATTTCCGGTTACCATGAACAGCTGGGTGAATAGTCCGATCAGGCCACACAATGCCATTGAGGCAAAAATTAGAGTCATTTGGAGTATCTCCAAAGTCACCACCATATGCCCAAAATTTAGATCCATCTGAGTCCTCCTTCAGTAAACCCTGAAACAAAAAAAGGAAAAGGATAGTGGTGAGAAACAAACGATGGCATAAGAAAATAAACAAAATTCGTCAATGATACATTTTACAGCATTTCACTTGTACGCTGTAGCAATGTACTAGATTAGCTTGACAAGATTTTTAGGCAATGATGAAAGTTAAAGAAATCGGCTTGTTATAATCTTGTTCTACTTTATCCACTCATCATAGAAGCAGGTCATAAATCATAACGTAACCCAACCAGTGAGACACATAAGAAAGTCCTAGAGGCTTATAGAAACTAGAATCACGCAAAGGTCAAGAGTGGATGAAAGTAAATAGGTGATACCTCATCAACCCAGTCCCATATAAGACCTCCTTGGAGTCCAAAAGTGTTGTCTATGGCCATCCAATAGACATCAATATTCCCATTACTGTTTCTCATAGCATGTGAATATCTTGAAAGCAAAAGGAAAAAAGTATTTTAATCAAAATCATATGAATACAGACAAAGGGAATCAAGTTATTAATATGTGAGGTCATGCTTAGCATACTCGCAAAGAATTAGAGGCCTTGTTTCAGATGGATCTTTTGCTATCTTAACAATATCCCAGACACGCATATACATGGGGCACACAATATCTGTGGATGATGTTCTGGAACCACCTCCCTCATAATGGAGGAGTCTTGTTGGATCCCTTTCACGAATCCACCCTAGATGAATGTTACCATTAGATAAGATAAGATACGATACAGAAAAAATGAACTGACAGGTAAGAATGTTTTACCAGACATGGAAGCATGATTAGGTCCATATGAAGATACATTTCCTAGGGACCAAACAATAATGCATGCATGATTCTTATCTCTCTCCACCATGCTAACAACACGATCAAGCATTGCATTTGCCCAGATAGGTTCTAGTGTAGGATGCTTGAAAGTGCTAGAATCATCAAAACCATGTGTCTCAATGTTGGCTTCATCTATGACATAAAGACCAAAGATGTCACATAACTCATACCACCTCGGGTGCTGTGGGTAGTGGCTATTTCTAACAGCATTGATATTGTTTTGCTTCATCAAAATCACATCCTGTCACAAATAGATAGATTGTAAGAATCTGAACCTGGGCAGATGATTAAATCAAACCAAAGAGATGATATGTTAAAAACTTAAAAATGTTCTCCAATATGACAGAGGAAGACATCGACCTCAATCATGAATGCTTCTAAATTTGTCTTTCCAAGGCGTGGATGGTGCTCATGTCTGTTGACACCTCTTAGTATAACAGGACATCCATTGACAAGCATTTGCTTGTGTGCCAGGACCACATTACGAATGCCCACTTGGCATGACTCACAGTCAATAAGCTTCCCATTGGCATCTTTAAGGAGAACAACAAGCGTGTATAAGTTGGGCTGTTACAAGAGGAAGAATAGTTAAAAGACATAGCTTTTATACAGTTGAACTGTAACAGTAATGTTTGGCACTAGAATTTCCCTGGGGTTATTATATCTCTTACATGCTCACTAGACCAAAGTTTTGGATTTTCTATTTTTCCACCAAGAACATAACCATGAAAACCACGACAAGGGCTTCGAGTTGGTTTTGGCTTCGGTTTCAAATTGACTGCATTAGCATATGAAAGATCAGCATCTATACTGTTAGATAGTCCAGAGTTATCAAAGAGTGTTGCTTCAATAGACAAAGTTGGGACATGCTCCCGGTCATGCTTGTGTGAGTCAATCTCCACCTCTACCTGACATACTAAATAACATTAGAAGTGAACTAAACTACATAGCAATATCAGATTAAATAATTCCTTGACTTGTGCAGAATCAGCAATTACAATACCTATATTTTGCTGTATGAGAAAAAAAAAAACAGGAAATGGCAAATGAGTTCCCCTAGAAAATGTGTTGCCTGTTGTTTGGTGTTGAAAAGATGGGGCATAAAAAGCTATAGCAATCGAAGCAAGCGCGAAAGCTGGATAAGCACATAATGATTATCTGTTGCAATAACAGCATAAGATTCTAAATGTATCTACAAGTCCTTTGGTGGTTGGTCAATTGATTGATCATGTGGTTCTGAGTAACAGATATCAGTTATTATTGTAAGAAATGTTTGAACTTTGAAGGTTATATTAACATTCCTACCCAAAAGAACGAAGGAAGAAAGGTAAGAAATGGTCTTCAACCATCTTCATTAGTTTTTCCCGGAACATGTGTGTCATGAATCAAATCATCTCCACTAAGGCACTAACCAATTCGCAAAACCGGATAACCCTGCCAAGATTAGGACTAGAGTTACCTCAATATCAGCTAAACTGAAATTATCATCCAAGGTTGCTTTGAAGAAGTAATCTGTGATAAAAATTTGCAAATAACATATGAGCACTTCATAACCCAAAAAATTTGGAGACCCAAGAATAATTTCTTTAAGAAAAGGAATGGAGAAAACGAATACAAATGTAAATGCAGTGTATAATCTCAACAAGTTAGTACATCCCCCTTTTCAGTAAAACAATGCAGCCCATGATTCTTCCTAGCGAGAGGTTATAACAGAACAGTGGACTCACAATTATTTAGTAGAGTATGTTAAACACTAACAGTCTAAAAGAGGAAAAGTTCACGGCTGATGCTCCATATTCTTTTGAGAGTGTAAGCACAAAAAGGATCCATATTTATCTTGCTTTTGTGGAGATAGGCGAATGCCATGTGCATTTCTGCCTTAGTTATTATGCCAAATCTTGAAAAACTCATGACATCAGGCACCTAATTCAAGTTTAAATGAGGTCATATTAAAAGCAAATATGAACCTTAAAGGTCCCCTCTATTTTTTAGAAGATGCAAAATAATAGCTAGAAATTCATTAAATGCCATGTAAGAAACAAGGAGTAACCTGTGGCTTTGATAGTAGGAGCACATCCCTGTGAATACCAGACAGCCTCCAGTGATCCTGATCTTCAAGATAAGAGCACATCACTCCACCTCATAACTTGAACAGCAAGAACATTTTCCTTGTCCGAATCACAAGGATGGCAGCAATCGGTAACTTCAAACTCAGCAGGAAGCCTGCTGTCCTGGCTGCATTGATACATCAAGCAACGCTCAATCAAACAAACAATTCATTACAAATCTATAATTACCAAAATAGGTCAAACCAGATAGAGCACTATAATAACACCTTATGTATAATTAAAAATATTCAAGAATTTTGTTGTCTCAAAAGTGTCCGAAAAGGAAAAAAAAAATACAAACAACAGGTAGCCAGCAGCACAACACTCCTAAATCACAACCAAAATATTTAAGCTATCATATTTTGAGGTGCAATTTTTTAAAGCTATGTTCATATAGAAAACAGAATTTTATACATCTAAGCATTCGGAAAACAATTCACAGCAGGAAAACATGTTTATAAGGTTGGGAACTGGGAAGAATCTTCGCTTTTTTCAAATAGAAAGTGAAATATGTTAAATGGAAACTAAAATGCTGAAAAGATCTATATGTGTAAACTTTTTGGATACCAAACAACAAACAATTCGTGGTTGCAGATAATCGTATATTCCACTTTCTTATATACAGAAACCTTTTAAGGGTAGTACACAAAAATTATGAGTCAGATACCGAAACAGTGATAACAATAACAGGCTTCACAGGATCCACTGGCAGTAAATAGGTGGACAAGGGATTAGTTTACCATCAACATTGTTAACTTGATAAATTATTTGTACTGTAGATTGCAGATTAAAATAGAGTACAAGGAAAGAAAATCAAAGCATTTTGCGGTTTTTTCATACCTATACCCAATTGGTACTCCATTTACCCAAGCAAAAAATGCAGAATCAACAGCTTCAAAGTGCAGCAAGATCCTCCGACCTATCAGAAATCATAATCAGCACAGAATTGTGCAAAATGGATGACGGGGAATGTTAGGGACAACTGTAAGAACTAGATCCATTTAAATGTCAGAGACAAAGGTGTTATCCATGTCAAAGAATGGAAAAAGTTTAGAAAATGTCATAAGACGCATCCCAGTAGACATTAAAGGAATAGCATAGCAAAGGGGGAAAACGAAATAAATAAAAACATGTATATGTAACCAACACAGAGAAGTTTGTCCAAGGAGATAGACAGCTATGCAATAATCATGCCTGGCCAAAACTTGTCAAGAATCGCACAAACATTGTGAAACCAACACAGAGCTTCAGAACAGGTCTGCTACTGTCAGCTATTCCTTTTCAAGTTCATGAACCACATATCTTCTCGAACAAGACAAATATTCGATATAATGACAACGTCATCCAAATCATCATCGCAGGGAGGGAGGGAGAGAGAGAAAAGAAAGGGGGAATAGAAGGATTCAGAACAGAGAACAGAAAATTGGGCGGCAATTAGCACCAACATACCATGATTGCTGTACAGAAAAGAAAGATTACCAAATATTATGTAAATAGCATACCTTTCCACTCTTTTGGGATGTGAAAAACTGTCCTGTAACAACCCGTGGGATTATCAGCCGGCACAAATGGTGGGTTCAGTGGGAAAGGATAAGTCATATTTGCGTAGATTGGACGGTCAAACCCATGCATTTGCCAATTTGAGGGAACTGCAAGCAAGTAGGACTCACTTGAGAATAATTCTCAAATGATGTGCAAGAGAACATGCTAAACAGCAAGCACCTTCTCAGCTAAAAAGCAAGTTGAAAAGACAGAAGGAGGTTGTAGCACCGTGCCTGGCAAAGCCGCCCAATTTGAATCATCAAAATGAGCACAATAGAATCTCTCCGGAACACTTTCCGCTGAAGGAGACAGAAGGAATTTCCAGTATCCACTTAGAGATCTGGCGTATGGTAAGCCCTTGGATCAAAAGGCAGCGCTTTCCAGAGCACCGCGAACCGCATCATCGTTCCAGACAGCAGTGTCAGAATTGAGGTAGTTCACATTCCTCCGTTCATGCCAATACTTCAGGGATCCTATGGATATAGGAAAGAAAAAGAAAGCAAACCGATCAAACAATTTGGATACAGGAAAGATAAAATCGGTTATTGGAAGAGTGGATTAGAACCTACCTTCCAGCGTGTCCTGTGAGCGCAAAGGCACATGCGCCTCACGCTTTCTCCACTTGAAGAATGATGGGTCCTCCCAAGTTTTATGTGAAGGGCTCGAGGGAGGAAACATGGCACTGGCATAAGCTAAAGCCATTATGGACAAACAGGGGCACCTCTTTCCTCAAACGAGCAGTAAAAGGCACATGTCCTGGGGAAAAAACATGAAAATACCATCTCATCAGAACAGACGAATTGTATGTAGCACGGCACTTGAGAATGCTGTAATTTGGAGTATGCAAACCGATTAATTGATCTTAGGATTACGTCCTATGAGCAAACTACTATAGATTATTATATAATATCAGACCACAGTTGCTGCGGCTGCGCTAACAACTGCCCGAAGAAAATATACTTTCAGGATGGTCTGTAAAATGCCATTTTGTCTAATAATTCCCTGTGGAGCACGCCCATTCATTCTGTATGGCTGTATCTGAAGGAAGGATGATTAGCTTTAAGCTCATCTGGACTCCTGAACGTCGCTCGTCCCAATCTCGTTTTCACCTTCGCTCCTCCGAGCACCAGTCAATGCCTTCCACGCAACCCATTCCCCACTAACCGAAGCGCTCCACAGTCCACAGCCACCATCCCGCTGCGGCCGCAGCGCTCCCCGAGATGGAACGGCCACCATAGCCCGTTACCTACGACTAGGAGGAAATGGAAATCTAACCTCAAAACCTCGGTTCCTTCCCAAAAACCCAGATCGTGGTAAGAGGATGATCCGGAGAACCGAGCCGAGATCCATCCTTGACCCGACAAAATCACTACGAGGCAAAGGCAAGCGATCGCATTCTATGCGGTGCGAGATGAGGATCCGTGTCGTACCTGCAGGCTGCAGCCGGTGCCAGCAAGGCAGGAAGCGATCGATCGACGAGTCAATATAGGAAGCGCTGAAGCGGGTCCGCTGCCGGTGGAGTGGGCTGAGATTTATGATCCTACTACTAGTACGATTACTAGTTCCACCCACTGGTGCCACGATGAGTGTATGCTTCGTCAGAAAAGATTTCGAAATCGCATTGACTTTGCCTAAAAAAAGACGAGACTCACTTTTATTTAGAAAACAACCAAAAGGATGATGATTGCATTGTTCGCTATGGCATCGCGCGAACAGACGAACAGGCAAGATTTCGGAATCGCAGTACTTTTCCCTATCCCGACGAGCGAGCGACGACTGATAGAGAAGAGCAGGGCTTCTAGTCCGAGCGACGCGCGACGAGCGACGAGCGAGGGTTCTTACCGGAGCAACGGAAGACGGCGCACCAGCAGGAAGGGGATTCCGCGATCGAGGAGCGACCTGGCGTGTGGTGAATCCTCACCGGCGGAATTGGGTTGCGGAGCGGAGTTGAGCAGCTTTACACTTAGGATTCTGCTGCAGCTAAAAAAAGAATAAAGTAAGGATATTTTTATATTTGTTTTGGTTTAGCCGTATGTTCACGTATGTGATTCCACGATATCTTCTGTATATTATAGGTTAATCTTAATTATTGATTGATCGTGTGATTTTTTTTATAGGGGAATCATAATAAAATAAAAAGTAGAAAATTATTGTGTTATTCATATACATATTGCATGTTTGTATGCATCAGTATACATGGCAACGAGCAAAAGGAAAGAGAATTAACACAAAAAAATAGAATTAAGACAAAAAGAATTTTTTTGCACCTCTTGACTATCCGAGTAAGGACAAGTTAGTACTGCAAAGACTCAGAAAAGCCGCTGAGAAGGTCAAGATTGAGTTTTCCTCCACTATGCATACTAAAACCTATATCTCGTTTATCATTGTCGATGCTTTTGATGCAAAGCAATTCAACATTATCATGATCAGATATAAGTTTGAGTCTCTTGTGAGCAATCTCATAGAGAGACTCTCATCCTTTATGTGATTTGCCTTAAGAATATTGACAGGACAATGGACCCATGTTACAATGTCGCATCAAAAAGTATCCACGTTTTGTCCACGATTTATTTTCCATGAATACATGTGGGTACTATGATAACACTAACTACACCAAATGAAAGATTAGAGAGAATTTGTATAGTCAAAGAGATAAATTATAGATGCTTGAATTTTATCGTCCATTATCTACCGACGTGCCTATAAAATAGATTGAATAAACAATTAAACATAGATAGAAAACTAAATTAATGAAAGTATCATTGCAAGACATCAATCATCTTATAACTTCGGACAATATCGCAAAGCTACTAAAAACTATAACCATGCCCTCACCTCAAATATTATCCAGATAAATGGATTACAATGAAAGAAATGGATATCGGAGATTTCTTCCTGCTAATATAAAACATTATCTTAGCCGCATCATCCTGCGACGCAGCGCACTCCGTGACTATGTTAAATTTATAAACTTTGTTTTTTGAATTAAATGTCACTTTAACGTTGGTATTTAATTTTTACAGTATTGTTATCTTATCATGCGATCCATGTGTTTTTAGTATAAATTGTTACGGCCTGTTCGGCAGGCCATAAACGATCGTTGATTATTTACTATTGACTAGTTTGGTGTGAGAAAAAAATACTGTTCTGACTAAAAATTTACGATCGTTTATGACCAAACAAACAGGCTGTTAGTTGTCCCGTAGCAACACACGCACACGCATACGCTATCCCGTGGATTATTAAAGTGGAACGGGTGTTTAGTTGTGGTCAGAGCATTAGAGCAACGGACGGAGCACCCGCAAAGTGACTGTGACTCCTCCCAATCCCAATCTGTTTGTCGCATCGGGAGAGACGGAGAGTCCAGGACGCTACGCCCTAGCCCCTAGGACTTACGGAGTACATGGGCTCGGGCGCAGATGGGCCTGGACCGCTTTCCCGGGGGAGGATTCCTTTGCGGGCTATAGACTTTGCTCAAAAAAAAAAAAAGCGAGCTATAGACCTGTGGGGGTACATATGACAGGTGGGACAACCATTTTTTTTGGCACTTGGTGACTTTAGCCAGAACCGGTGTGAAATCTATGTACTGCTCCCTCCTCTCAAATTAGAAGATGTGAAATCTATGTACTGCTCCCTCCTCTCAAATTAGAAGATGTCTTGACTTTTCCAGTTCCATTGTTTTTCCTATATGTCTGAACATAATGTTTATCTAAATGCATACAGAACTATTATATCTAGAAAAACCAAAATGTCTAAAAATTTGGAATGCAGGGAGTGTCACTTATCAGTGTGAAATAAGTCACTATGTTCATCAAGAGATCCTAAAAATTACAATATTGATCAAAAAGGAAAAAATCTACACCATTATGTTTTTGCGATTGTCTATCGTTTAGATTAAACCAAAGAGTCCAGGGCTAATATAATTAATAAATATTTAATTCATGATAATAAATTAAAATAGCCATTTAATTACCATATAAGAGTTGGAAAGAAAAATAGCCTAAGAGCTCGTATAAAACTCAAATACTAAAGGTGCCTAAATAAAATAGTCCATATAAATTAAAGTTATTAGATATAGCTAGGTTTAAAACTGAAATTGAAAAACAATTTGATTTCCTGAAAGATCCACGTAAAAAAGTTACTACGCCACTATAAGTGAAGTTTTAAAGATAGTACCCTGTTCATCTTCCAAAATATAAGATTGATGGGGAATAGCTTCGTTTATTTATGTATCAAGGTTAGTGAAATACGAGCATCTCTATCGAGTTTAGGATTTGATTTAGATGGGCAAGTTTTGCCGCTATGATCTTGAAATATAAAAAATCCAGTTTTGTGCTAATTCAAATTATTGATCAAACTTATAGAAAAAGAAAAAATATGTAGGACTTAAAATTAGTTTATTTGGATACATTATGAATATATTTTTATAATATATCTCTTTGATATGGTAGATGTTAATACCCTTCATTATATTTTTATTCAAATTTAATATAGTTTGACTTAGGACGAAACTTGAATATCTTATATTTTAGAACGAATTAAAACTAAGCAGCAGATTTTATGGTTATTGGTTAACATTGGTGTTTATCCCGTACTCTACTCACTAGGGATCATCATCATATAACCGAAGTTTGTCAACTTGCATGTCTCATTAACGTGTTTTTTTTTCGTAAGAGGCCATGTGCTGTATGTACTTTGGTAATCTCAAAGATTTAGCAGTCGAATCGCTCATAGACGACCCTTGTACACGTATTATTATGTCCATATATGCATCTAAAGTTCTAAACACTCCGGTGCATTTTTTATAAAAAAAAAGTAAAATCCCATTGTCCGGTCGTCGCAGCTGTGTCCCCAGCCGAAAAGAGGGAGCAGAAAAGCCCGAAACGACAAGCGTGGTACGCCAAATCTTGGAAGCAGTTGGCTGCCTCCCTGCCCGGGCTGCCCCATCCATGCAATAGCAGCATCCTCCACCTCCAGTCCACTCCGCCGGCAGCAAGGCTGTCATGACGAGCAAGCAAGCAAAGCGAGGGGAGAGGACGAGGAGCGCGCGGAGACCAGAGACAGGGAGCGGACCACACCACATGGCCAGCAATTTGCCCAACATGCCCAGATGCAACGCATGCATACTGGCCATGCGTGCGTGCATGAGCAATTGAGCAGAGCCAGTTCAATTCAGAGACGAGACGAGACGACCTTCCCCTTGTTTTTTCTATCCCACAAAATTCATTTGCAGCCGGAGCCGGTGCTGGGTGAGGCGTGTGTGATCGCAGAGAGATCTCCGGATATTGCTAGCTTATTGGATCCGCAGTGATCCTGCCGGATCCTGCCCCTCCTCCCGCCCAACCACCAGTAGTTGGCTCGATGCCGCGAGTACCCTTCGCCGTAGCCTAAAAAATTGCCGGCCAGTGCTACCGTAGCGTCATGCCAGTATGGCACACGTACGAAACAGTGTTTTTCATTAACTACAGTGGTATTGGTATGTGTATGTTTCTCCTTATATTATATAATTTATCATATTCTTCATCTGTAAATCAGTCGGTGCTAGCACTGTCTTACTGTTACAGTTCACTCATGTAAAAAAGGGGGGTCGGTCATGTTGCGTCCGAATGGAGTATCTGTCTGTCCCATAAAGTCTGAAACGTTGTTTCGAGGGGACCGACATCAGATCGGCGTGGAGGACCCTTGTGTATTCCCCGTCAAAACTTTACGTCCTATTACATCGAATACAGTTTGATACATGTATAGAATATTAAATATAAAGTAAAAAATAACTAATTACATAGATTACTATTACTTTGTGAGACAAATAAACCTAATTAGTTTATAATTTAACAATAAGTGCTACAGTACACATGTACTAATGACGGATTAATTATATTTAATAAATCTATAATTTATTTTTTATTAGTTTCCGAACACCACAGCGACACGTCATGCAACATCCGATGTGACACTCCAAAACTTTACACCTTCTAAAACACCACCTGAAAACGTTGTCCATGCTGTAGAATTTTTGCCTCCATCGTCAGGCAGCCCGACAGCGGAAAGAAAAGATCGTCAGGCTGACAGGTGAAAGAAAAGCTCATCTGCTACGGCCAAGAACGATATGAATGTTCAGATTACAACATGTTTTATCTGAATATTCAGTATGTACATATTGGAAGAAGAACTGAGCGTAAACAACATCAAAAAACCATCAGCAGCCAATTGATCCATCCATCCATCAGCACACGCAACAACAATCACAGGTTTTGAGGCAGCGAGTCAGTACCATGATTAATAAGCCGAGTGAAATTAAAAATTAGCCTAAACAACAAGAGCATCCGAGGCGCCTGCCTTTTATCTACAGCTTCCTTTTTACCGTTCATTCCCCCTTCCTAACGAACACAAGGGTGTCCATGACCATGAGCGCAACAAAGGCTCACTTCGCTTGCTTGATAAGCTAAGCTGAGAAATACTGTTAACTAATTTGTTACGAGAAAAAAATACTACTTTCTTTTCGCTGAAAAAATACGGCTCATAAGAAGCGAACATGGCCAAAATTTGCAGGCCCAAGCAGCAGCCGCTACATAAGTACGCCTTAATTGTTATTCACTTAGAGCTAAACCCCCTCCATCCCCCAGGAGCTAATGATCCACCCCTCCCATGATTAGCTCCGAGAACCAAAAGAACCAGTGAAAGAAAGGAGGACGAGTTCTTTCTTGGCGGCGGCCTGGGTTGGTTGCCTTTCCTCTGGACTGCATGCACTGCTAGATTAATGTACGTAGTAGTATGTGATCCGGTTGCCGTCCGATGATCAGGTCTCCACCGCCAGGATGCTCGTCGACAGCCTCGGCTTGGTGCTCTCCGGCGTCGTCACCGTCACGGTCAGCCCCTCCTCCTCCTCCTGCTGCTGCTCCATGGTCGCCGCCTTCCTCTTGTTGCCGCCGTTGCAGTCGCCGACGGCGGTTCCATTGGATGCGGTCGCCACCGGCTCTGCCGCGGATTCCTCCGGCTCGTGCGCCGGCTGCGTGTGCGGGTCCAGCTGCTGCTCAGGCTCCACCGCCTGTACCTGCTGCGGCTGCGCCTGAGGCTTCTTGGGCTGCTTCCGCTTCAGCAGGTGTGACTTGAGCTTCTTCATGTCGGCGAGCTTCACGGGCTTCAGGAAGAACTCCTCTGCGCCATCTTCCAAGCACCTGAAAACCTTGCAATCGTTAGCTGGAAATGGAAGGGAAGCTGCAGATTGCTTGGATTTGGAAGGAAGCAAGCAAGAGTAGAGAAGAATCGAATCCTCCTCTTTCCCCCTTTGGTTTCTGAGGGACTGAGACGAGTGATCACATCACTCCAAGCCCAAGGACAGGGCAGACGTGTCAGAGATCTTTGCTCCCACAGGGAAAAGATCCGGTCTTTCGAATTTCAGCGCCCTTTTTTGACTCAGCACAGCCCCATCCCACTATTCGCCCAGAAATCTTGACCACCGGACAGTGACCACAGGAATACGTTTTTTCTGAACTATAAAAAAAATTCGAGAACTCGAAGCCGAAATGTTTTTTGGCATAACTCAAAGATACAAATAACCTTTTTTTTTTGCAACAAATCCATCCATTTGGTGTGGGTTTGTGTCCGAAAGATTTCGTGAGATCTTGGCCCACCACCACAGCACAGCAAGGCACTGAGAGGAACCTTTCCTATGCTTTACGTCGCTGTCACCGAGATATGGCGATCTATGCATGAAAACGCAGCGCGGAGCATTCAATTGCCCCACCACCACCACCACCACCACAGTCCACACCCCAAAGGCCCTCCGTTCCGTTACACGGCAACGTCAAGGGTGCTGTTCTGGGGAATTCCTGGGCCTTTTTCTCTTCCCTGTCCCGTCAAATCACGCTACTATGCCTCTCTTTTGTTCTTATCTGAAAAAGATCAAATCTTGGACGTTTGGCCGCTGCCGGCTTCGTTTAAATTGAAACCAATTGGACCCTTGCAGCAACTGAATTTTTTTTTTGTTAGGTACAGGCGTAATAGGCAGTGACTAAATAGAAATATTGTTGATTTTCATTTTGGCAAAACTGAAAAGTCTATGAGGCAGAGGAGGACAGAGGAAAGAGATGAGCTGTATTAGCAAGATGGAAAGCAGAGTTTTGCAAGGATGTTTTATTTATTTGCAAGCTTTAGACCAACCAAACTAGACAGGCTTAACTAATACTCACACTACAAGGCACAAATTTTCAGAGGTAAAAGTTGCAAATCTTTCAGTGCTCCGACCAAATTAAGAAATCGATCCCAACGCCTGAAGAAGCCTTTTTTGTGCAAACATTAAACTAAATAATCCCTAGGCGCCTTTTGTCAAAAGGAGAAGAAATTAAATAATCCCGAGGCTACGTTCGGCTGCTCAGCCGCTTATCCTGATTTGTGCGGTGGATTTATTGAGGATTTATTGAGAGAAAGAAATATTGTACCATAACTTATAATGACAATCGAACCCTCTCCTGAATCCTTTCATGCAAAACTGGTAATCTAGCATGATGGCATTATATTCCCTGCTCCCTAGACAACCCCCAACCCTTTCACCATGATATGTGCCATGTACTACTACCATAACGTTAATCACTTCAGTTCAGAACAAGCAGGCAGGCAAGAACATCAAAGCTCCAATCATTTTCATCTGGTACATCGGCATGCACCAGTCACACGCTGGCTGTTCTACGCATGAACTAGCAGATCAATTAATCAATCTCAGCTGTGACCTAGTTAAACTCCTGCTCCTGCCTAGTGTGTAGTGGACCAACTTGATAAATGCTGCTAGTAGGAGTAAATAAGAACATGATGAGACAAGGTTTAAATTGAATGCAGTTGGAGCTCACCTGCTGATCCGGGCAGGCACATTCTCAGACGACATGATCACCACAGGAATGTCCTTGAGCGAGGAGGACCCCTGCATCCCAGAATTGGCAAGCGAAGATGAGATGAGGTTTTTACTCCGCGATGGTCCCCGTGGACCAGGATTATTAATGAGATTGAGAGCCCAAACAGGGTGAAGGAATTTAATTTAAGGCTCCTCACCTTCACCCTCTTGAGCAGATCGTATCCTGTCATGCCTGGCATGCAGTAGTCAGTGATGATGAGATTCACATCGATCTCCTGCAGCAAGAACAAGAATAGAGGTTGGTGAGGTTGGTTGGTTACAGAACAGAACAGAACAGGGTGGGTGCCAATCCGAGCAGCAAGGAAGGAGATGGAGAAGCCGAGAGGCGAGGGATTTTTCCTTACCTGGTGGTCAGGGGAGGAGGGAGACGGCGACGACGCGTCCTCCGCGCCGTCGTCCCTGAGCCCCAGCAGCTCCAGCGCCTTGCTCCCGGAATCCACCGTGGTCACTGAACGAGGACGCGATTGGAAACCGATGATGAGAGGGAATTTCGCCACGAGAAAGAAGAGAAAAAACTCAACTCCAACTCCAAGAAACACGGACAGGACGGACACACACTGTCCCTGTCCTGTTGAGGCTGAGGGGCGGCCAGGTGTCGCCGCGGTGGAGGCTCACCTTGGTATGACGAGTTCTTGAGCAGCATCTCGATGAGCTTCCTGTCGACGATGCTGTCGTCCACCGCGAGGACATGGAACCGCGACTCGGCATCCACCACCGTCATGGCGGCGTGGGACGGGAACAGCCGAACGGACGACCAGAACGACCAGCGCGCACACGCCGCTGCGTCCCTCGGCTCCTTAACAGCTAGGCCTGCAGACCGGGAGGCGTCGTCGCCTTCCTCCTCGTGGCCGCGGCGGGGTAGCGGTGGGGCAAGGTAGAAGGTTAGGTTGCTTTACTGAATGCGGCGCTGCCGGACGGCTTATAGGCGAGGTGCGGCACAGCCATGGCACGGCACGTCACACGCGCCCACGCACCGGCAGGCACCGCTGCAGCGGCGTGGCCTCGATCGCCCCCCGGGAAAGCAAGATCCGACCGGATCACGCGCCCGAATCTCCACAGCAAATCGGCTCCATGATTTCTCCTCCCCTCCCGCGCCCGCCCGCCCGCTCCCACCCTGTTCCTCGCTTTGGTCTCCGCACCCGATAAGTTGGGTCTTGGCTTTGCTGTGGCGTGGTGTGGTGTGGTGTGGATGCCAAGCAACTAGGCGCGGCCTGCCTGCACGGGCGCACCTCTCGGCACAGCACAGCTGCCTTCCTTGCTTCTTCGGTCTCTGCCTCTCTGGTCTCTACCCAACAGCCAACAGGCCAACACCCCCTCCCCCTTCCTATTGTCTCTCTCAGCTACGATTTTAGGATGCGTTTGGTTGCTTTCACATGAATACTCTGTACATCTTATATATTCTAGATGAGTGAAGCATGCTAAATGCAGTACATGTAAATGACTTGGGGAAAAATGAATATTTGATTTGTTGTATAGTGAGTTAGTAACCTTGTATTCTAGATGGAACAATCATGCAAAATGTTTGATTATCAGCCTGTTCGTTTGGTCGTATTTGGCTTATAAGCTATGGCTTATCAGCCAACGAATAATATTTTTCTCTCACGACAAACCTGTCGATGGTATTTCCAACCATGACTTATAAGACAAACCAGCTCAAACGAAGAGACTCTTCGGTTAAGAGTGATGCGTGGATCCAACATGAGATGCATTGTATTTGTATCTATCCAGCCGGGACGACTTTTGAGTGTACCACATACATTAGGCCAAGCAAGGACATATTTCTGCATCTGCGCTCTGCTCATACAAACTACATCCGCTAAACAAAACCTTCTTCGTTAGATTACATGGGCAACTGATCACACGTCCTTAGGGCTGTTTGTTTGAGCTGTAACTTTTAAACTCAGCTTAAAAGCTGTATTTCTATCTTTTGGCTCGTGCTTGTTGGTTGTTGGCTTTTGCTATTGTATTTTTTAATAGATTTTTAGCTTCTTAACACATAAAAAAACCTAAAAGAAAAACCCCCGTCTATGTCAGTATGTTTTCAACTTTTATTTTATTTCTCTCAAAAGCTATCTTTTTTATCTTTTCAAAAACTAGCTCGATAGCTGGACGTTTGTTTCAATTTCTACCTTTCTAATGACTAGCAAAATAGTACAGCAAAAGGACCGTGTGTCCGTTCAGACGGTCGGTTTAAACCTGTGTGATTTGCAAACACCCGCGAGCTTTATGTTTTATACTATGGGCGTGTTTCCAAAAAATTTTGGTTTTACTCATCACATCGAATTTTTGGACGTATGTATGGAGCATTAAATATAGACGAAAAAAACTAATTGCACAGTTGGGTGAGAAATCACGAGACGAAACTTTTGAACCTAATTAGTCCATAATTAGACATTAATTACCAAATACAAACGAAAATGCTACATTAGCTAAACCCAAAAAATTTCGCGAACTAAACGTGCCCTGTATATATGCGGAAGGGAAACATGGCAGGCAGGATGGATGGATGGAATAATCATCATGTGCGAACGCTTATTAAAGTAGTATATATGTATATGCCACAAGGTTTATGATTAATTAGTATTGTTATTGTGTCCTCTCCCCAATTTTACAGTGTTGTTGGAGGTGGCGGCAGTAAATAGAGCATTCGAATCGGCTGGTTTGCGTTTGTTTGCTCAGAAAATGAAGAGAACCGCGGAGGCGCAGGAACTACCGGAGATGGTACAGTACTGCGGTCACTTGTGTGCCGTTCACTTCTTCGGTGAAACTGGAGCCGGTCAATTCTTGGATCGGGGTCGGGCCGGCTCCGGTCTTCCAAGCAAAGCGGAACGCCAACAGGAGGCCGGAGCCACGAGGGCACGAGGCCACCAGGCAGCCAGTCCTCTTCCTCTCGGCTCTCTCGCCCGGTCACCGTCACGCTCATGGGCGGGGCCCGCGAGGATCCCGGGGCGAGATCCGCTGATGTCACCCCTGTGCCAACCCCCCCGGCCCCGGCCACCCCTCCTCGTCTTCCCTCCCTCTCCTCGTCCCGTTTCCATTTGCGTTCCTACCGATGCGGGCCGTGCTTGTCCCTCCGCCAGGTGGGGCCCGCAGGGAAGGGTCCATGTGACCTGCACGGGGCTGTTCGACTGGTATTAAAGCCTGTTGATAAACCAGCTGAAGCTGATTATTGTGAGAGAAAAATACTGTAGATTCTAACTGATAAGCCGGTGATAAATTCAAACGAACAGGCCCTCGTCGCAGCAGTCAGCAGCGCACCTCGACGACTTCGCATGGGTGGGTGGCTAGGCCGGTGGGGCCTCGACGTGGCTCACCGGTGCCGGGGCTGGGCCCTGTCTCGATGACTCGACGGCCGTACATGCAGGATCGACGGACGAGATCGCTCCGGTTCTTTTCGAGTGGTTTTTTTTATGCCTCAGCTCTTCAAGTATCTGAACTCGCGCGCTAACTCACACCACACAACCATACGCACACAAACTTACACGTACCCTAGTACGCAAGCTAGACATACACCTTAACGAAGAGGCTTGCACGTGGCTGAGAGATATCCGAAGTCTTCCAAGCTTTGCACATGACGGGCACGTCATACTGATCATTGTGACGCATCCGCGTGTGAGGCAATCGAATTTATATAGGGAACTACTGTTCCTGATGGGAAATCACGCGTTCGAGCATGCTCGAACCGTGACCGGTGGCCTCCACTCCGGGAGAGCTCAGTAACCTGGCTACGGTTCGGTCCCCAAGTTTGTTCCAAGTGGTTGTTCCAAGAGAGTGTGTCTAAAATGATTTTTTTTTTCAAAAAAAATGTTATGTGCACCATTACTGCATCTTTTTTTTTAATTTTTCTTCTCCTTTTCCCATTGGGGCCGGCCAAGGGATTAATTCTGAAAGAGAAGATATCGTTGTTAACTCAATTATATTCTTCAAAGGCTGCCCTGCCTCTACACAACTTATTCGTCAAAGGAGACCTTTTCTCTTGACCAAATGATTTGCCTTTGGGAGACGAAGATGATGGCGAGAAGGAATGCGTTATCGAGAACCTTAAAAAGTCAGGGTCAGCACTAATCCTCGGTATCATTTTTCTGGCCTACGAGACCAGATTCCCTGACCTGCATTTTCGCCGGTTATTTAATTGCGCACATCAATGTGATTGTAATTTATGAAGGTGTTTATAGGAGCAAAACTGCAAAGCGACCAGGTGAAGGCCAGACATGGTTGATGCAAAGTAAGAGGCTTGGTGCCCTGTAACCATCATCCAGGGTGCCTAATGAACTGGGTTGTTTACTTTCACTCATCAAAAATGATATAGCGCATGTTTAGAGGTTTTATGACACATTAAAAATGATATAGTGCATGTTTAGTTATGCATGGTTAATTGTTAGCTTCGACTTTAAATTAAGTACCTCCATCCGTCCTAAATATAGTGCATTTTAGAGGTTTTATGATATTTTTGAGAATATAAAAGATGCATATGTCCTCACTTTATTTTCTAATAAGACGCTATCATTATTAATATGATTAATAGAGGTTGTTTGATAAATGACTACCTAGTTTGTGCAACTATTTAGTACATAATTGTTTTATGTCTCCTAAAGTTCCTTATATTTGGGTATAATTTTTTATTACTTATATGCACTATGTTATAGGACGAAGAGAGTAATTAGCTACTCCCTCTGTCTTGATCCAAGTTTGTCCTAAAACAAACTATGTTAACTTCGACCAAAATTATAGAAAAAATATGGTTACAATGAACATCAAACTAGTATCATTGGACACATTATGAAATATATTTTTATAGTTTACATTTGATGTAATAACTATATATAGTTTGCTCTAAGATAATTACTATTTATGAAAATTTATAAGTTTGACTTTTAGAAAAGAGCAAGTTTGGTTAAAATCGTGATTTCACGCATGGATGTGCGTACAAGTTTTGACCAACCATGCTTATATAAGTTACAAGTTGTGGCCTATCTGTCCGTTTTAGACTTTTAGGTCAACTGCTATGGTTCATTGGCTTTATTATTTTTATGTGTCGGGTCAATTATCTAATAGGTACACCAAATTCCCTTCCGTAGCCAAATTGGATTTTGAGGTGGAGTTTTGTTTTTTTGAGTCTGTTAATGCTTGAGCAGCTAGCGTCCGATGTATAGGTCACTTACATAAGTGTGGACTAATTCTTCTTATATTTAATTAATTATTAAAGAGGACGAAGCACAGCAACCCTGCATATTTTCTTCGTCATCTGCTAGCATATGTATTCAGAATTCAGTAAATGTAAGTGGATGGAATTTTAAGTCAAAACCACTGCGGTGGTTTGGCTTTGAGGTGTGGTAGTAATCTAAAACAGTTGCTTAGCTGCTAGTGCTGACGATCCCTGATGGGTATGATCGATCCCACACTTTGCTCCAAGGACAAGCTTGTTCCTAGTTATTTATCCTCCAGTGGATGCATGCATGCATGGATGTGACTGAACTAGTTTATGTTCCTGTAGCAGCGGCCGGCCCTTGGTTTTCAAAAGGAAAATTGCAGACAGGTAGCAGCGGCGCGGCTCAGTTCGGCTTACCTTATAATCTGATTTATTCGGCTTCTTTTTTTAACGAAACAGTATTTTTCTCTTACAGCGAAACAACCAAATATATGTAAGAGCACTATAGTAGTGTCGCTAGTGGATGTGTGTAGTAGTAGGTAGGTTGTGTTGTGCTTATCTTCTTCAGCTGTTCGCCACCACATGCTGACATGCATCCGTGATCTGCTTACGCAGATGGGAGATACGGACGGGATACACACATCCATCCAGATCGAGGCAGCACCGAATCGCAGGCAGCCGCGTTTGCACCGCACCGCACATGCAGGCTCCTATGATCTCCATCGGGAAACGCCATTAAAAAACGAAAACGGGGAAAGCAAGATTTGCGACGTGACCATCCGAGAACTGTGGCGGGATTCGACTGAGACGGAATTGGGATCGGATGGAGACGGCAGAGGAGGGCGAAAACAAAACCAAATCTGCCATGGCATACGTACGGAATTACTGATATGATCCATCCACATCCACCCGTCCTATCTTTACTCATATGAACGAGCTCCATACTTTACCCAACACGTGATACGCGTTAACAAGTTGGGCGTATCCTCTGAGGATTCAAATCAGATTCACCCCTGATCGAGGTCCTGTTTGTATGTTCTAGTATTAAGATACCATGGTATTAATAAACCGTAGTTTCAGAACCTACTATAGATACGCAAAATCATGATTTAAAGAAAAAGGGTCGAGAACGAACTTTTTAAAACTAAAAAAAAAACAGCTCAGCAGTATTATGGTTTCCAAAGTCGTAAATTTGTAGCATCCAAACACTTCGTGGCACTTTAAATCAATGGATTTTACAAAACCATGGTTTTTTTTTCTTTCTAAAACTCAAAAAATAAACAGAGCCCAAACCCAAACTGAAAGGCTCTGAAAGAGCCCAGGCCCATCTGAATTACTACAACTCTACTTGCAAGGTCCAGTCCGGTTCAGCCCGGCCCTGACCCGTCATCTCGTCACCCACAGGATGTTTGTGCTTGCTCTGAAAATTCCACTGCAGTAGCAGGCAGGAAGGATCTGCCTGTCCCAATCGCCAATCCCCAATCCCAAGTCCCAGCGGCGAGCGCTCAGAATTTCCGGGAGCAGCATTATCAGGCTAGGACGGCGAGCGTAGACCAAATCATCAGGGTCACCAACTGAATCTCGTACGGCCGATTTGAGGATTTCCCTACTGTTCAAAGATGCACACTCTTCTCTTCTCTCGGAGGAAAAGGGAACCGGAGAAGGAAGGAAAGATGCACTGTACCTTCAGCAGATGGCCACTAGGACAAGCATGCCTGCCGCCCTTGCTGCTTGTGCCGCTGAGTTGAGGTGACACCTGGTCAGATTCCTGGGACTGAGAGGGGTTACATGCCTAATCGGAGAACCTTTTGAGTTTGAGCCGTGCTAATTTAGAAGCTTATTTCAGCCGTATGCTGAAATTTGGCTTCTTACTTATACCGAGAGTGTTGTGAGAAAAAACATTGTTTCACGACTGAAAGTAGCTCAAGTGAACAGGGGGATCATATCTAATTCCACCCGTATAAAAACGATTGCTACACGCCTGTTGCGCGCACGGGGGACCGCACGCACCCGCGCCTGCGCCATTGCACGCACAGGCGAGGACTGCCCGCGCCCCTACCGCCATCACCCTCCACTTCCCGCGCCCACCGCTGCATCGCGTCGTGCCGCGCTCAATCCCTCCGCTTCCCACACGCATGCACAGGGCCCAGCAGCTGCAACAGGCGATTGCAGCGGGTGGGTTCCACTCTAACATGTGCAACATGCGATCTATTTTGCATCATTTTCAGATAAAACACTTGCAAAATACGTATGAAACAACTGGAACCCTTGCAACATACGTCCAAAACACCAGGGAAAACACGTGTATAGCCATTGCAAAATATATACAACATCCAGATGAAACACTTAGAAACATACGTTTTAAGCAACTGAAAACAAAACATACGCTTGCTACATGCATGTATGTGCAACATTCAAATCTACTTTTAAAACATCCAGATGAAACACTTACAACATACGTCTAAAACAGATGAAACAGTTAGAACATACACTTGAATCATACATGTATAACCATTGTAATATGTGCAATATCCCGATCTACTTTTGCAACACCGATATAAAACACTTGCAACATACCTCTAAAACACGTGAAACATATATTTGCAACATGCACTTTCAACCCAATATCTACTTGATGCTTGGGAATGGAGGCTCGTCGACGCGTGGAGTTCATCGGTGCAGAGCTCGCCGGTGGTGTGGAGCTCGCTGCTCCGGTGGAAACTATCACGGAGAGAGCATGCGATGTGGCAGCCGTGGAGAGGGAGAGGCGAAGGTAGCAGCTACTGGCACGAGCTGCCACCGAAAACCCGTGCCACCGGAAATGGGCGAAACCTAGCAGGCAACCGGAGGCTAGGGTTGGGGTAGGTTGGGCGGCGTGATCGAGCGGCCACGGTGGCGGATGTCGTGGTGCAGGCAGGCCGCGCGGTGGAGGCAGAGTGGGGAAGGCGGGCGGCGCGATGGAGCAGCCGCGACGATCGGATGCCGGTGGAGTTGGCCACGGGGACAAGATGCGGCGGTGGAGCGAACGGGTGGCCGGATGCGGCGGTGAAGTCAGCCACCATGGTTGGTTGAGGAATTGACGATTTCGTTTTTTTTTGAGATACAGGCAGTGGAGATGAGTGGTCGGTTGCCTGGGCCGGTCCACGTACAAGCCCAACAATCAAGTGTCTAGGTGGACGGAGACAGACGGACGCCCTGTCCCCAACATTATCGATATAGAAATACTATTTAACGTTTGACCTACTTCCTGCGTGCTTAAAAAAAAAAAGCCATGAAGAATTTTATGGAGGTCTACCTTTTTTTCTAAATTTGACTAGATTTATAGAAAATATTAGCAACATTTATAGTTACAAATAAGCTTATAATAAAAACACATTCAACGTCTAATATGCACCATAAATATTATTAATTTCTTATATATATATATGGTCAAAGTTAAAAATATTTAAATTCTTGGCAAGTGAAAGTGACACCCTTTACGAAATTGAAGGAGTATACAAGAGTGGTATTGGTTTAAGGTATGAGTCTATTTTTGATCACCAAAGTCCAATTTGGCTACTAAACTTCAAAACTATTTTTTTTGCCACCGTACTATTGAAATTGGTTAACTTTGCCGCTCGAGGTGGTTCGCGTAGTTTTCTAAATATAAAAGAATATGGTTAGATCTCTAAAGATTCATAACTAAATTAATCTAAATAAAAAATATGAAACTGGCATCATTTTTTCTAAAAGTATAATATTTCTATCTGCTCTTGTTGTTGCTAGTGTTTTATAGCTCAGAGTCGCAATCCTATTAATTTAAACTGCTATTTTGCGTTCTATTAGATGGTCTACCAAAAGGATCCAATGGATTGCAAGTATCATGGAAGATCTCAAAGGTAACGCCAACCTCGCAGATGTCATCTCCACCACATATAGATTCTATTTAGGCATGGCATGCTAGTGTTTTACTTTATTTTGATCACTTGACTAGATAACATGTTTCAAATAAGGCAGTGGTTCAAATATCATGCAAACAACATGAAGTAACGCGCAAAACAACAGTTCAAATAAATTACGACTGCAACTAAGAGCAATAAAACACTACCAATAGGAATAAGTAATCTAAATAACTCCGGATAGAGCACCAACAGATAGGTTATGTTTCTTTTTTAAAAAAACTGGTAGAGATTTTGTATTTTCTAATTTAAGATGAGTTAGCTATGATTTTTCTATTTAACTATATTTTTTATTTTAGAGAAATATATACATAGCCAAAACCATCTTTTAAAACTACCTGAGGGCCAGTGTTGTCTGATTTTGATATTTTGATGGCCAAGATATCCAGTTTAGAGTTTGATGACTAAAACCAAACTCAGGACGGGTCAAAATTAGATTTCTAATGAATGATATAAAATGCTTCCAAGTACCTACATGGCTACATCTATGAGCAACAAAATCGAATAGGCTAAATAAACTTCAAGAATGGAATTGAAAAGTACGGCTGTGCACTAGAGAATGCCCAGTGTTTGATTAAGTTGCTCAATAAGCGAATAACAACAGAAACAGACTACAATGTCTAAGAAAATAATAAGGGTGGAGCAATATTTTCAGAAATTTCCCTTTTTGTGTTAGGGGTCTAATTCAAGGGCTCAATAGTAGAGGCAGTGCCTCATGCAGCTCAAAAAGTCGAGGTAGACAGAGTGACAGAACACATCCCCAGATAACAGTTTTATTGATTGTCTGGTTTCCCAGTGTTACTGGCGATATAATCGGCATTCAACCAGGGCCTGTTTATCATAAACTGGCATCGAGCCAATGCTATAAAGTTTGATAGACAGGTCCAGGTGCAAACCAATTGCATGTTTTTTTATGGGAAACCAATCACACATGTTGCACCAAGGTTTTTGGCGGCTATATCAAACAAGCCGTAGCTCGCTCAATCTTGTTTCTCTTCTTCCCCTGATGCATCAACCTTTGCTGCTGCGGATGCATAGCTCACACTGCTATCCCTCATGTTCTTGCACTGGCTCGACTGCTCGTAGCGAACAAAGCCAATCTTAATTTTTGTTGAGCAATGTTTCAACATCTGAAAAAAAAAGAATTATGCAGTGAATGAAGACGTAGTAAAATGAAAGATACGCATTGACTAGATTGTTGACAAGAAAGCCATTTACATGAAGGAAAACGCTGATGGGGTGGCGTCCACATATGGTATTCTCATACTCCTGCAGGTATTCTTTGAATGCTACAGGATCACCAGTCTCTATGATCTCCATGCCCATACGGTCCAAGGCCTCAATAGACTTATGAATAGCACCATGTTTCTTTTCGTAGTATGTATAACTAAACCTGGTATGAGTATGGGATCAGTAAAATTATTTCCATTTACAAGATGATGAAACAAATCAGCAACAAAGAAATTTTCAGATGCAAAAATAGGCAAATAACAAGAGCGTTATGCACTTATGTCTATATATTGATATAAGAAGCACCAATTGTCTTCTTTTCTATGTCCACCAACCTTTATGCGCACAGGTAAATTCTAGCCATGTTTATTTCTGTATGTATCTTGCCTTTCTTTAACGATTTAATAACACTAAACAATAGTGCTAATACTCAGACACAAGGAGTGCCTTTGTCTAAGATGAGACAAAATACTCACTAGTCTGGGCAATAAATTGTAGTTCAGCATACCACCACTGGACCAACAGACAAGCTAAAGGGTTACAATTGACAATTGTTTGCTAGGGAGCTAATTTTGCCACTATAGAGATCCTGGTGAGGTAGAGTTCTCGTGGCTATTCTTTGGTGTTAGTGTGGGGTATTTGTAAGGGTATCTTTTCCCTTTTCTTCTTAATATAATGATATGCAGCTAACCTGTGTGTTCGAGCAAAAAAATGTTTTGTAGCAGCAGATTGTGGACAAGCTGCATCACAAGGGGAGGGCACTGTCATGCTAGGTGCAGCAAGAAACAAGTTTGCAGAGAATAAAGGAGGAGTGCTTTAAGTTTTTTCAACTCCTGTGCAGTGGGCATAGCCTTGGGGGACTTGGGGTTGTGCTATAGTGAGGCATGGTGTGGTCCAAGAGTCATACCTTCTGAATTCAAATAGGGGAAGGTTGCAAGAGGAAAACACATCAAAGAAAAATGAAAAGACTTTCTTCCTCCCCATCCTATCTATATTCTGTAGTCTTATTCTCAGTCCTCTCAATTTCTATTTCCATTGAGAAATTATCCTAGTTATACTTGTTGTCCTGATATCTTTACAACAAATTCTTGTAAGCTACATGCTGCAATAATATGAGTATTGGACTAATGGTCATGTAAATTAATTTAATCTGGCAGTGGCATTTGAATGTTGGAATGGTCGGTGGAAAACTTTGTAATTTCATCGCTTATGCGAGTAATGAAATTTGGGTTTCGCCTAGCGTGAAAAAAGAAAACCATGTTGTTTGCTTAACAAAATCCATGTATCCCGAAATGCAGATTTGCAATCGGTAAGAAGGTTGTATAGCCACTGAGCCGTATAATTTTTCTGTCATGTGGAGGGCACGGCTGAGGAAGGTTGCATGGCCAAGGCGTGACCGAGTCATGTGGAGGGGGACTAGAGTATTCGGGGGAATTGGATTGATTGTTCTTTCTTCATTGCTTGATTGATCACCATTATTACAGGGAAATAAATAGGCTCTGGGCCTCTAAAACTTAGGAAAGAAACACCTAGAATTAAAGCCTGGATTGGCCAGCACCTCAGCCGTGCCCTTCAATTAGACACGGTCCTTGCGTGGACTGGCCATGCAGCCTTCCTTAGCCACGCCCTCCATATGACACGGTCACACCTTGGCCATGCAACCTTCCTCAGCCGCGCCCTCCACATGACATTTTCTTTAAGAAAACTGGTTTGGTCAGACACAACATTATTAAACGTGTCCGATGACTGGCATGTGAGCACCAAATTGCAATTGATCTCAAGGATCTCAAGTAAAAGCAACTATAGCAGCTCTGGCAGGGAGATCCGCTTTCACCCATGCTCTTCATTCTAGCTATGGACCTGCTTCAACAATTGCTTGACCAAGCAACCCAACATGGGATAATCACCCCCTTACCCATCACGGCGGCAAAATGGAGAACCTCTATGTATGCAGACGATGCGGCTATTTTCATCAATCCAATAAAAGACGATGTAGAAGCCGTCAAAATCATCCTCCAAGCTTTTGTCACATTCTCGGGACTCCATATTAATCTAGAAAAGAGCTTTGTGCATCCAATCAGTTGTGGAAATGTCGATCTAGACCAAGTCCTATCACCCTTCACCGGTAGTAGAGGTGACTTCACATGCAAATATTTGGGGCTGCAACTCCACATTAGATCACTACAAAAGGTCTATGTGCAACCTCTCATTGAGCGTATTGGACAAAGGTTACCCAAATGGAAAGGAAGATGGCTAAACAAAGCGGGACGCCTCACTCTAGTAACTTCAGTCCCCTCCTCCATGCCAACCTACCACCTCACAGTGTTTCCCTTGGCGGCATGGGCTAAGAAAAAGATCGACAAAATCAGGAGATCTTTCTTGTGGAAGGGGGAGGAGAATGCCAATGGTGGACACTGCCTGGTAAACTGGCCAACAGTTACCAGACCGAAAGACCTTGGTGGTTTAGGCGTACCTGACCTTGATAGATTTGGGAGAGCCCTCCGGTTGCGCTGGCTTTGGCAAGAATGGGTGGACGACTCCAAGCCTTGGAGCGGCTCAGAGCTTCCATGTACTGATGTTGATCGTCTCCTCTTCAACTCCTCAATCATTATAACTTTGGGTGATGGTGCAAAGACTAAGTTTTGGCACCATAATTGGCTTGAAGGAGAAGCTCCAAGGTACCTAGCCCCGAATTTGTTTCGCCTTGTTTCAAGGAGAAACCGAACGGTGCAACAAGAGCTACGGAACAACAATTGGATGCGCTCGCTAAGAAGGAAAATCACCTCGGCTGTCCACATAGAGGAGTTTGTGTCCCTTTGGATACGAATTCAGGACGTGCACCCTCAATGTATGCTTGAGGACTCCATCATCCGGCAATGGACCCGAATGGGATTTACTCCACCTTTCGACAAATTGAATTCAATTCAAAGGCTCGCTCGTCTGTTGTTCTGTCTTGAACTCATTTGGAAAGCACAAGTGGAGAATACATGCAAGATCTTCGCCTGGATTTTAGTGCAAGATAAAATTCTTACGGCGCACAACCTACAAAAGAGAGGGTGGCCACACCAACAACATCAAGCGTCTTTGTCAGTGGGTCCCTTAGAAACCGGCCTCCACCTATGTCTATGTTGCCCTTTGCTAAGGCGGTTTGGGATCAAATCCTCTCTTGGGAAAACTTCACTCACCGCAACAACAACCCAGGCGGACCCCATCCATATCGGGGCATGGTGGGAAGAGGCGGCAAGGAAAGTGCCAAAATCTGAACGTGATTTACTTAACGGGTAGTAATCTACACCTTTTGGAATATTTGGAAAGAGAGAAATAGGAGAATTTTCAACAACAAGATAGAAACGGTGCCGCAAGTAGCCGCAAGGATAAAGGAAGACATAGAGCAAAGGAAGAGAGCACTCGCTTATGCTGTTGTTTCCCCCTTGGGGTGTGTGTTTCCCTACTTTACCTGCTTCGGGGGGCTTGAAACCCTCATCTGGAGTGTCCTTGCTTATACATAAACTCTCTTTCCCTATCTTAATTGAAAGGCAGAGCTCCTGCCATTGCGTTCAAAAAAAAAAACTATAGCAGCTCCGGTGAATTCTTCTTCTTGGAAAATATGCTGATTTCAAAGGAGGTCAAGGGCTCATGGCTAAGCGTAGGTACAGATGAAATTCTCTACCACCAACCACAGTACCATTTTGCAACTACATTTTAAAAGACATTTGGTATGTGCTTTGGGAGGTCTCATAGGTTTCACAGCCGAAGTATCCAATCCCTCCAGCCCCATGTTTCTCATTTCTCATAGGTTTCTTGCGAATTTCTAATCTAATCACAGGACATCAGTGCCCATGTAATCATATATTCATCTTGACATCGCTATTCGAAGTGAGGCTGCCGGTCAGCCTCTCCTGGCCCTTATCTTCCTAATTGCTAACAATAATGAATCAAGAACCGACACTGGCATCTGCTCTCTCCTGACTCATCAGATATGAAATCTGGGGAATGGAGTATTGGAGTGGTAGTTTATGTTAAATAAGCAGTGCAGAGGGGGCAAGTGAGATCAACCAGCAAGCCCCACATGCCGTATGCCAAAGACACGCATGCAATGCACTCAAAGATGTACAAAATTCATAATTTTTTACACTGATAATACAAGCAAGAGACATGAGTAAGCAGACACATAAAAGCTAATCGCTTACCGGGATCCCCAATGGCAGAAGTCTGACGACACAGAAAAAAAGTTTTTTGGGTCATCAACATATTTGGAGAGCAGCTGTCCATACATGGCTTCACTTTGGGAGCTAAGTGCACCAACAAGGATAGGGACGACTTTCACAGTATGTCTGTCAAATCAACACAGAAAGAGAAAAAATAAGTATGTGTAGAGACAAGAGTTTGGTTCCAAAAAGACTACTAAATGGATATAAGCATATTAACAAAGGATTTACCCTTGAAATACTTTAGCAAGGTAGGGCAAATGCATTTCCATGCTATGTTCAGCTTCATCCACACTAAGATCCATAAATTCAAATTTTCCAGTAGCACTGAGTTCCTCGATGACTAGAATGGTGGAAATCAGTAGAGTAAAATAGAAATATATTAAATTCAAACTTTCATGCAGCGTTGGTTTCCTTGGTATCGGGAAAATAAGTATTATAATAATGCACTCCCTCCATTCCAAATTATACGTCATTTTGACTTTTCTAAGTATATAATTTTTTTACTATATATCTAGACATATTGTATATCTAGGTGCATAGCAAAAGCTATGTATCTAGGAAAGCCAAAACAACCTATAATATGGGGTGGAGAGAGTATTAAAATATTCAGAAAGGGGAGGAATGGACCCATTTGAAAGGAAAACTCATCATGCCAAGTTCAATCAACAAAGTGGGCTAAACAAGACATTCCAGGTTGTCACAAGCTCACGCGACACCTACTGGCCACAGATAAATATCTAGAAATGTCTCAGATGCAAATTTTACAATGGTGCATCCCAGATTACGTAGACAATGTAGTTTTACAATCCCTCTAATACTGAACATATTGCATTGCATCCATATTAGAACCAGATAGCAATACTGGTATAAAAAAAATATACAAATAAAAACTTACACAAGACACCATTAGCAAAAAAAATAGCATGCACTCTTATATTAAACTGGTTGATTGATTAACATGCACAGTACATATACAGAACTAGGCTAAAAAAATTCAACCATTCAGATTGAGTAGGCACCCACCTTCCTGGTCCACTGGCAAATCCCCAATTGGGGTACAATAGACAGAAGCCCTGGTTAAAGCACATTTTGGAGTGTAGTAGTGATGAGAAGGGCCAAGCAGAAACACCCGAGAACTGAATTACATGCACAGAGGAAAAAAACAGCAGACCGTTAACATTGAGCATTTTGAGGAGAAATAGTTATAGTAACCAATTGAAAGTAGCTAGAATGATATTATAGAGTGTACAATGAAGTGCATTTTTGTGAGGGGCAGAATGAAGTACGTATATGGAAACAACATTGAAATAATGTATGAATAACCCTTCACTTAAAGTCTTTACCGGTTACAAAGTAATACATTAGATTTGAAATTTTAACAATGTAGAAACTTCATGTCTTGCATTGACTAAAGACTAGCTTTTCCAAGGAAATCAATGGTATAAAAAAACATCCATGATATTAAGTAGTCATAGAATTAACAAGAGCATTCATTTGTTATTACATCTGGAAATACTAGCAGAAAACTATAGCAACATGATAAATGACTCACATGTTAGTTGGATCAATGTTGCCAAAAGCATAAGCTGCACATCGGCCCGAGTATGAATAACCAGCATGGCTGTAGAAGCAAGTAAAGCATGTCACAACAGAATAGCAGTACTCAGCATGCATCCAACATCCTACAATAAATACCAACTTACGGTGCAATTACTGCCCTAACATCAGGAGACTTGGTTAGACCAGCTGCCCCCAGCCAACCACTGAGTTCCTCTTCCAGCTTCCTGGCTAATTGTAAACATGGAGCAGTACTTAGACTTTAGGAGATGACAACCCAACCCAAATAGTAAACTAAAGACTTAAGCAAAAGGGGAAATAGGAAGCATCTTTTTATATCCCTTAAAAGTTTATTATCAGTTGAAACTCTGCATTTGTTCACTGCATCGAAAGGATACTGGGTGCAGATGCTGCATTGATGAATTTCACTTCATTACAAATACGTTTACTGCTGGAGGACTCGTACTGCCCCGCCTGCTCAGGCATCATTGAGACTGGTGACCACATCTTTGCTTCCTGTCCAAGAGCGTGGAGAATCTGGCGATGCCTGCATGTGACGGTTCCTGAAGGTCTTCAGTGTCAGCCATGGCGCATTGGTCATGAGCTGGACCTCCCCGCCAAGGTCAGGATCGACGTTATGCTCATCTCTCTCTGGCACATTTGGAAAGCTCGGAATGCCATGATTTTCGACAACGAGGATGTCCCGTCCATTGCAGTTCTCCGCGGGGTCATCAAAGATCTTGACCGCTGGGGCTGCCGATACAGAAGAGATAGGATCGCGATCGATGCCTGGAAAATGTATATCCAAGATTGTCTTGTTCTCCTGTAGTTAAAAACCCCTCTCCCTCCCCTGTATTTCTCTCTCACTCTCATGTATCCCGTCCCTGGTATGCCGGGGCAATGATTGTAAAGTCGAGCCTGCCTTATGGCCCCTTCGTTCAATACAGCAAGTGGAGCGCCGCTCCCCTGAATTGATCGAAAAAAAAACAAATACGTTTACTGAACAGGAAAAGACAAGGCAGTGCATGCATCAATAATTGATGTCCTGGGAGTTTACAAAATCAGTGGCCTGGTACTCAATGTGTCACCCACTGAGTAGCAATTCTGCAGTACAATTAGGCCGATTACGCGGCCTCAGCAGTAATACAGTAACAGTTAGAGGCAGCAATACATCACTCCACTCCAAACAAACTAGCAGGAAACTAAGGTTAGCGATGACAAGTGAAACTACACCAACAGTGTCAATTAATAGGCTATGCCTCGAACAAGACAGAACAAGTGAAGCAAGCCGCACCTGAAAATCAACATGACAGGAGAATTGTGAAATTGCAAAGTACCATTGTTCGTGTACCAAGACCCGGCGTGCGAAGCCCTCCTCACGCGCTCCATCGATCGATTCAGAGATTCCTACCCCAGCCTGTGCCTGCTGCAGTGCAGACCTGCCGTGTGCTACGTGCCGCCTCCGGCCCCCCTGCCTGCCGTGCCTGTGCGCCGCGCCTCCCTGCCCGCGGCGCTGCTAGGGATTGCGAGTCGGGTGGGAGGGTGCGGGATTGGGGATGGATGCTGATCGAGCCGGCCGTGCCGTGCGTGGCGTGAGTGGCTTGTGTAACCAACTGCAAGCAGAAAGCTGCTTAGCTAATCGCCATCTGTCAGGTTTGGGCTGGGCCGCGCCTGCTCTACACGAGATGGCACTGGTGGAAAGATGGCCCACGGCCTTGTGAGAGAGTAGCTCCGGACGTCCGTTCCGCAAGATGGGCCGCTGACAAAATGTAGGCCCGAAACGGGTCCATCGGTCTGGGCTGGGCTGGTACATTCAGTGATCCTGGTGACAAAATCACACTGCCAAATGTGCCGTAAAAGAGTTTGAACCGCGAATGGAGCTATAGTCGGGCTGTCCACTGACACCCTACCCACTAGGGTCCAAACTCAGCTAATCACACCTTTTTCTAATTTTTTTTAGAAATTTTAGTGCGTGCGTATTTGGTGGAAGTACGCGTTTCCCACGCACCGGAGGTGACGTGTCTCACAATCTCTTCATTATGTGTGTACGGACGTGCACACATGTGTGTGCGCGTATGGTGTGAATGTAGAGGTAGAGCTCGCTAAACCTGCTCTATATATCTATCTTTTTTAACTTATTTTTTCAATCGAAACAGTGTTTTTCTTTCACAACAAATCAGCTAGAACAGTATTTTAACTTTTTTTTTTCCAGCTAAAATAGTGTTACGTGCGTTCGAGTTGCACGTAAAAAAATTCGAACCAAAAGCAGTCCGTTTCCGTCGGTGCAGTCTGAACCACAGGATTTCCTGTGACATGCCCAAACAGAGCCCGGCCCGGCCGTCGTCCTCAGACTCAGACTCAGAGAGTCAGAGCCACTTTACTCAGACGAGTACGATGATTACCGCCAGATCAGGGATGAAAACGATCGGAAAAGATTGATAGAAGGCCAAATCAATTTCATTTTCACTTTTTTTTTCTCAAAAACAAAATTGATACGATATTGTCGAAAATGAATACGGCACTGATATTCCGGTAATTTCGAAAACGAAAGTAGTCGATCGGAAAATACATCGATAACGATCGGAATCAATGAGAATGATATCTAAAAAATGATAAACACGCTAAACCGTAGAACACGAGAAGAGCCATATAACTCGATCTATCTCACATGACAATAATAAATAAAACCACAATTGACAAGACCATAAGCTATAACCGCATAGTTCATACCATCTTATGTCTCAAACAGCGGCAAACCAGGTAACAGTACGACAGTTCTTGACAAAGACAAATAAATGATCGAGTTCTAAGTTGACATGACATAGCATAGTGATAAAAACATAAATTACTAGAATTCCTTGTCCAGTGAACGTGATTCAATCAGCCAACGGTGATTGACTAGAGTCACGGTGATTAGCTGATTTTCTGTCTTCATGTTCCTATACCGGATGAAATACTTGCTATATAGTTCATTTTCAAAAAAATATTTGCCTTATATGCTTGCGTGTCCATAAATAAATTAGGATTCATTGATTCAAGTCCTTTGAATCGATAACTACCGACGGCAAATTACCGGCTAAATACGGTAATCTTCGAAAACGATAGAAAGACGGCAAAATCATTTTCGCTTTCGTTTTTGATTATTTTTACCGTTATCGTTTTTGCTTTTTTTATTAACGCTACCGCTTCCGTTTAGGCCTGAAAATCGAAAAAAAAACTCGAAAACGATTTCTGAAAATCAGAAATTATCATTTTCGGTTTCATCACTAGCCATGATGGTGGATGGAGGCAGCCTGCATGCGGATCCAGCCTTTCCGGGCATGTGGCCAGCTACAGCTTGAGTGTGTCTGTGCTGCTGCTACATGGAGTGCAACCGTGCGAGCGGTACTGCCGGCCGTCCGTCCGTCTCAGCTGTCTCCGCCGTGGCGCCGTCCGTCGGTTTTACTCCACCGGCTGGACGGACGGCTGGTGCACTCCCTTGTCCCTACTACGTACTCTCCCTCTCGCGGTCTCAGTCTCGTCAGTAACAATCAGCATGTTCGCTTGCTCGTAAACGATCGTAAATTTTCAGTCGGGAACAGTATTTTTCTCTCACACCAAACCAGCCAGCAGTAAATAATCCACGATACGATACGGCCTCCCGAACAGGCCAAATGAAGCGAAAGATGAGATGGAGACTTCAGGCCCGGTCGTCCGGAAGCGAGATCTGAGCTCTCTGGGCTTCGTCGGTGACACGTTGGAGCCTCTGGTTCGTCTCATGGACTAGGGATCTAGCTAGCCTCACGATCCCAACCGTGTGTCATCAGTGTCACTAGCCAGGCAGGTGTACGTGAGCCTATTCAGTGGGTCCCAAGTAAGTGCAATTCTAAGACATCTTAGGCAAATTAGTGTTAACAAGAGGAATGATGCACGTCAGCATGTGCCCTTAATACCAAAAGTGTCATACACATGTAACGATTGCACATTAGAAAAATTAAAAAAAAAAGTAGCTAAACCTTGTACTTATAGGTGGGCCAAGAATTAGAATCGCACTTATTGCGAGATAAATTTTGAACTCTAGTATTTTAGGACGTAGTGAGTAACTAAAGAGTCATGCCCCCATCCCCTCTAAATTTTGCATTCCTAGACGAATATAGTAGATATGTATAAGGTCAAATTGCTAGTTGAGGTTGAAATGCGCTCTCTCATTTTCTTGTGTTATTTGTTCTTTATCGTGGATTGGCTCCTCCTAAAATCGTTTTCAAACTCCGCCACTGTCGCTCCCCCTTCTAGTCTACTATCTCCATTCTTAAAGGGAATACAATTGTGACTTTGCGAGGAGTCATACGATTTCAGGTTTAACTACATCTATAAAAACAATGCTATAAAATATAGTGTTATAGCAAATCTATTAGTATAAATTCAATCAAATTTTAAAAATTCGAGTTGTGTTTTAAATTTAGAATTACAATTTATTCGATGGAGGGAGTACACCGTTTCCGGTCTTCCATAGCTCCATGCGTGAACCTTGCAAGTATCTGTCTTCTCGCGGGGCCAACTGAACTCACTCTTCAGCTGCCGGATTTAATGGATCTGTCTCTGAACTTTGTCTGTGTCCTTTAAATAATAAAAAAACTTGTTTCTGGCAACCAACACAACGTGGCCTCCCGTAGGCCGTAGTCCCGTCCCATCCCGTTGCGGCGTTGCCCATGCATTGTCATGTTTCGGCCGCGGCGTATTTGAATGTACGGCCTACGGCGCCTTTGCTGGCTGCTGGCTGTTGCCCTGTCTGATTGTGATTTGTACTACTCCTGTCTCCTGCTACGTACAGTATGGACGCATGCTGCAGCATGCGGGGCAGTACGTACGTACGTATGTATCCGCGCTGGATTGGATGTCGCATGTCCGTTTTGTACGTATATGTACACATGCTTCAGCATGCAGAGGCCAGTACGTATGTATCCGCTGGATTGGATCATTGGATATCGTCGTCGTCTGTGTTGGTGTCCTTGAGTTTTGTCATTTTTGCCTCCGGGTCGGTGTCGCGTAGGAGGCGAAGCATCCTTAATCGGTCTGCCGGTCAGACTGGGCATTCGAAACCAATTGGTTCGGTTCTTCGGTTCTTTATGAAATTCGGTTATCAAAAAACTCAGAACCGATCGGTTAGCTGCAAAACTGAGAACCGAGGGATTCCGATCTCGGTTAGTTCGGTCGGTAGATCCGAACTAAATGAGCCATTCATTGAACCAGCGAAACAGAAGAGAAATGTTCAAAAAAAAGAAACAGAAGAGAAAAAATGAAAAAAAAAACGACGACAGTTTGCCTTCCTCCAGATCGGGCCTCCTCAGCCCTCGCCGACAGCAGAGGCGGCGGAGGAGCACTCCAGGAAGGCGCAGGCGGCGGTGGAGGGCTCCAGTCCAGGTTCCGCAGCGGCGCAGCCCGCAGTCCCGCGCGCGTAGGTTCCAAGCCGGGACGACGTCGAGGAGCAGGAGGCTAGGGACCGGCAGGCGGCAACAGCTAGGGGGCCGACGGGGGCAGACGACGGGGGGCGGGTACTGACCTCTACGGCGTGCGAGGTGGCTGCCGCGGGGTGATGGGGGTCGGGTCT